GTAAGAGGCAACTAATATGGGATCTCCGCTGTAGAATTGGTGATTTGCTTTTGTGCCCTCTACTCGGAGAATTGCAACTGAAGTTAAAAGTAAACATAAGCAATACTTCCTGACAAGATCTAATGTGGACAAAACGTGTCAGAACGAATCCGGACCAAAATACATAATTATCTATGTTTAACAGTAGATTGTTTATGATAAGATTTATCCTAAATTGAACGTATAACTGTGGCTACGAGAAACAATTAATATAACTATATTTCATAAATATCTTTATTTATTATTATTATTATTCATTGATTTTGTAAGGCAATATCCTGGTTGTATGACAAAAAGCTGGTGTGAACCTCGAAGTAGGACGGTAAACCCAGTAAATCAAGACGCAAACAAATCTTTAAATGACTCTATCAATAAAAAATAAAAAAACACTCTATGGATTAGAGATCTAATAGTGTTTTATCATTGCCAGTTTCAGTAGCCCCATTTCCTGAAGAGGAGGTCTTGTTTAACGTCCTCACAAAAGCTTTAGTAATATCAAGAAGTGTTTTGTTTCTTGTTGTGTTTTTTTTGTGTATTTTGGGGTTTTTTTCACCCTCCCAATGACATAACGACGGGTGATAAAATAAGACAACTTTGAAAAGTCATCTCATTGAGATATCAGAACGTAGACATTGCAGACACTCCACCAATATATATTATACAAACAACGGACTAACTAGTCCTAACCGACACCAAGAAAGGAACAACTTTAACTCATTTTACAGCGAAGACACATTTGAACTCTTCCATATTAAAGGTCGGAATAGTTCATTGTGGATTTTCAGGGGTAAAGGAGTTAAAAACTGTCGGTTTGTCACGAAGCATGTAGAGGCGAGTGAGGGGTTCCTATGATTGATCTCTGCTAAAACCTTGGACCTCTATCTTTCTCTTGGTAAATCTTCACCTTTTTCTATGTTGTCTTCCTACGTGCTTATCTCCAGGTATCTTTCGCCTGTAACGTTAAACCATAAACAAAAGGTTACAAGATGCTGTGGTTCTATCACATTACTCGTGCGTCATCACATTTTGTACCAAAGACGCATTATATCACTAAACCTATACACTAGCATACTACCCTGACAAATGGACACAATCACGTATACTACATTCCAGTTAACAGCTTATCAACAACTAACGTTGTATGTTATTCATTGTTCAGTGAAACGGCATTAGCAATCAACAGTCTGTTAAAATACCTGAAATTTGTTGAGCTACAGGCAAGTGGATGCTGTTTGAATACTTTATCTGCCTCATTAAATAAATGCAAAAGTACGATGCTCCGATAAGACTATTTACTACTGACAAACTATTGACAGCTGACCTATTTCAGAGGTTACTAATTATGATATCGATCATTTCCAGATCGGTTGCTCTTGTTTTCAAAATGAACACTTGACACGAACAAGTCTTCGGTATTCATTTGGTAATTCATATGGCTGTCCACTCTAAGCTTTAAGTAATTAGTTATCACTATGTGTGTAACCAATACACATTCATTAAAGGTTATTCTACCCTGAAAAGATTAATAACGCCGGAATTATGTACCAGATGCCATCGGCATTGTATTCCACCGAAGTAGCATCTTACCTTCGAACCCTTGAAGAGCACAATATCCCAATCGAGATACGTCCTTAAATGTCCTTAGCGGTTCATGCGGCGCCTCTCTGTTCATGTCCTTGAAAATGGACCTGCTGCGTCCCAATCATGTCGAAAGAGGCGACTAACATGGGGATCTAACAGAATCGGGGATTTTCGATTGTGTCTTTTGTTTAGGAGACATTGAAAAATATCTGTCTGCTGCCCCTATTTTAACACTGATAATCTTGTGTTGTATCATTTTCCTCTCTTTTCGGCTGTCTTCCTCCGCACCCGTCTTCATTGGACCTGTGCCGTTGGCAGGAAGTTTACCCTTTTCAAACAAATAGACAAACGCTGAACCCAATAAAACCAAGCCTTGTTTGTTTAAGGATAACCGTACAGCAATCTTAAACTGTATTATCAACAACAGTGTTCAAAGAACAACAGGGCCAGGCACAGATTCGAACCACGGACGTCCGATGATTCTAGCCAACTGAGCTACTTGATCGGCAGTAGTTCCAAGGCCTAGCTTGATTACAGTGACCTCGAATTGCGAAATTGAGGAAAGGTAACTGTTACCATGAAAAATCACAGTGGAATTCTCAATATTTGCCTGCAATGGGACGAAATCCGTGCAATTTTAGGAAAATAATAGACCTGTTGATAACTGCATGATCGTAAGAGGCGGCTAATTTGGGGACCCTGTATTATTGGGATTGCTTTTCCCTACTCTTCTTTTCAGGTGACATTGAGGAAACCAATACTAGACTCGCTGTATCCCACTGTATGTGTATCCTAAAATGCGATTAATGTGGACCTCCGTGCAGTATAGGTTGTATCGCCTGCAGTGTCTTCTGTCTTCAACTAAGAAGACATTAAAGAGACTAATACTGATCTGCTGTCCCCATTGCAACACTCGGAATCTTTTTCGTTTCCTATCTTTCCTGTCTTCTTTCTGTCTCCCTTGGCAACCGTCTTAACATGACCCTGGCTGTTGCGATGACGTTACAGATGACGTTACAAGCTAAACAAACTAATAACAAAGCACAGGGACATAATTCCTCAAACGGCATCTGATCACCGGCTCAATCAACCGTAAATGCGACAGGACTATTTATGTTACATGTACCTATGCAAAGCCTCCTTTTCCCATTCGTATACAATTACATATCACGTGAAAGACAAATGTCCTTTGCCGATGTATGCAAGTGGCACATGTGTAGCATGTGCAGCATGAACATTAACTCATTCAACCCTGAAATTTCATAATGAACTATTCCAACCTTTGAATTTGAAGAGAATTCGAAATGTGTCTTCATGGTTGAATGAGTTTTTCAAGTTTTTTTAAAAAATCCGTTTCCGAAGCGTTTAAATAAGAAATACATTTCACCTTTTGCCGTGCAACAGGCCAATGGAATTTCCAAAATTGTAAACTCCATTCTTTGATTTAAGTCTACTATCAAAATATGTGTATCTTCGATATTTTTAACTATTCGTTCTCAAATAAGGTGGGAGTGTGTTAAAATATTTGAGAATAGTGAGGAACATACTCAAATATGTTAGAATGTTTTTTTTAAACACAGCGCATTCATAATGGGTCATCCACTATATTTTGAAAATATCACGTGTCGAATATGCAAACTTGAAATGAAATATTTATATATTCCATGTTACAAATACATTCGTACATGTATTTTGTTAGTGCATTTTCTTCTAGCAATATCAAAAGAATTCGTAATTTCAAAGTCAAGATAAGCATTGCCAATAGGGCTATTATATTCGGTTGATTGTAGTATGAAGAATAAACAACTGCAAAGCAAACATGTGAATGAACAAATTTACAAATTAAGTTTTGAATCAGGTTTAGCAGCAACAAAACTCTTGCAGTTTGGGCCTACTCGAAAAGAAGCATTGAGCGTGTCAACTGTGAAAAGAAAACTAAAAGCTATGCACATATTCAAAAGGAAAAATCAATGCAACCTCCCTGCAAACGTTTGTTGAAATGATAATGTTTTCAGGAGAAGTCCAAAACAAATATATATATATATGAAAATCAAATCTTAAAACCTGAAGCTTCTAATTTGCACCCACAAGCAGTTCGATGATTGAGAATAGAATGCACCTGCTGTTACCCACTGCATGTTGTATGGAGCAACTAAAGTAAGAATCCCATTGTAGAATTTGGGATTTACTTTTGTGCCGTCTTCTTGGGAATATGGAATTTTAAAAAACCTGCGACACCCATTGCAGATCCTTATTTTTTCTCTCTACTTGCTGTTAACCTTTTTCTTTCCTTCAGCCTTCCTTGGCAATACTCCACTTTTGGCCTTCATGTTTATCGTTCGACCTGGTCAGGAATGCATCTGGTATTGTCTGCAGGCCTGGACAAATGGAAGTCGTAAAATATGGTAGTTGCTACTTCTCACTTAATGTTCAAGATTTCTGGCAATAACAACAATTGGGTAACCCGTTGTCAGTAAAATGTTGCCGGTTGGAATACTACTCTGGGTGCGTTCGGCATGGCCTTTCAGTGGGGAGCACTAGGTCTGCGTGAGATTGGTGCTATCGGAAGGAGAGGAATACTCCAACATACAGCCCATTTTTATAAAAGGAAGTAAACATTGTTTAGTTCATCACTGTATTAACGGTTTCATAAATATGTATTGGTCAATACACTTGGTTTGAGTATTATATTATACATAAGCCGCCGAGGCCAGTTTATCTGAATAAGCTCATTCTGGAAACACCCCTCGGGGGTCCTGAGGTATGCTTGATGTATTCCGATAGATATGTGTTTTTTCAAACAAAGTTCAAAAGCCTTAAAACATGATGCGCCCATTGAAACGATTGGGATCTTTGGGACTTACGCAACAAAACCAGCCAATTAACAAGTGTACGTCCTACGTCGGCAGCCAAATCCCTTCGCAACTTGTTACACTGGGAATCGGCAGAAATAAAGGCAATTTTATTTCTCTTTAGGATGGGATTAATAATTTATCAATTTTTATTGTGTGTGTTTTTCTTAACACCCATTCTTGTGATATTCAATTTTTAATACGGTATCTAGTTCTTATTTCTCAAATGTCGGTAATGAAAACATTTATCGCTTTCTCTGTCAGGTTTCCTGTTAATTGTAAGCAGTGACAAATAATTATAATCATAACTTGAAATTTCTCGAATGAACAATGCTAATGTCAACTGTTTTTCTATAGATTTGACTCACAGGCGATCGTTATGATGTACTGCAAACCAAACGACATGCATTATAAATGTGGTCATTGTGATAGGCAGACCAAAAATCGTTGTTTTATGAGAGTTATAACAGCGACACACTCGTTCATGCCTGATTGGTTTACTTTTTCAGGTATGTTGAATGACAACTTCTTATTACATAAGCATATGTCGGGTGAACACTGTAACAAAAACCAGTGAGGACCACATGTTTGTCACGGTAAGTTGTAGAATCATTTTGAATGTTATAAGTCACCTATGTTTCCCAAACTTTTGCCCACAATTTACATGTCTTTCTCTGTTCTATACGATTTCTTGTCAGTGGTATCACCTAGGCACGTCCGAATCCTCTTTAGTGTGACCAGGAGTGGGTCCATGCTTCTGTTTAAAAGTGATGACATTCAGTAAGGCAACGCTAAAATGATTATATTTGAGTGGTTCAATAATCTGTACATTCTTCATATCAAGTTGACATTTTTGTAAGCAAACAAACAAAAACTCTTCACTCTGACTTTTTCCACAATTGTCAATAAACGACTTGATATTGTTTTCTTGTTACAAATTGCGTGTTTAAGGTACAAATTTGTACCATGGTTTTGTTTGTTTTTGTTTGTTTGTTTGTTTGTTAGTGTTTTACGCCCTATTAACAGCTATGGTTATTTAAGGACGTGCCAGGTTTTGGTGGTGTATGAATGCCGGAGTTCCCGGATTTGTGACACTTCAATGAAATTTAGAGTGCTCCTTGAAAGGTCCCATTCTGTTCACACGGCTTTCATATTATAAAGGAAGTTGTGGGGAAGTAAAAACAAGTTTTGTATCGACAGCAAGTATTAAAAGTATGTACATCGCTAATTAATATTATATCAATATTAATATTAATAATGTATTTGGTGCATCAGCAATAACGGAAATTAAATAGCTGGCATAATACAGCTTTACAGTAAGAGAAATATAATTTGATTGTTTGGCTAGTGAAATCACAAAGGCAGGCACACAGGGGCGGGCAGACGGACGGACAGAAACATAGATAAATAGGATGGCCATTGAACGTCATGTTATATGTTTTTATGCACTTAAATTAATAAAACACAAAGTATTAACACATAATGGGTCATCCACTACGAATGGCGGTTTCAATTAATTTCATACTTTGATACAAAGCTTAACCTATATAGAAGAATTTATATAGCCAGGGTTTCCTACTGAAAACGTTTCTATCTACGCTTTCTATATTTTTCCTTCTATATTAAACCTGATTTCCATCTATTAAAATCCAATGTCTACCATGATACTAATTAATATCCTCACAGTGTTTGAAGTTTCTTGTGACGCCTAAAACAGAGATTATATGAAGTGTGCCATATAGAAGTGTTTGTTATTGCAGGAAATGGTTACTTTCTGGTACTCTTCGTTTCCTTCTGCTTAATTTTGTTTTGATTCCTGAGGTTTTCCTTTTTATCTTAGTGTTTTCTTTCTTGCGCTTGACGTTTACGACCGAGTTCCAATTTCTCTACTGAGTGTTGATGCTGTTTTTATATATCATTATTATCATTATTTAATCCTGAAGGTTAAGGGAAAGAATAGTCCTGCTGTATTGCTTTGCATGTCCTCAGAAGCTACAAATGTAGGGCCCCAGCAGAATGGGGGAGGGGAGGGGGTTCTATGTCTTCTGCTTAGAAAACATTGGAGGGGGATTGATTTGCTGCCCCTATTGCAACACTTCGGGTGTATTTTCTCTTTTCCTTCACTCTTCTCTATACAAAGTTTTCGGCGGTTTCTCCGTCGACACCCGTCTTCATATGACCCTCGCTGTTACTACAATGATCTGTTGTTAACGACGCTCAGAAACATCGACGATGAACAGTTTCAAAGTGCATAAGTGTATCTGACATCTATAGCACGTGTTCTTCGGCTAAGTAGTAATATTCATTTTTTTAGTTTTCATTAAAATATGCAGTTACAAATGCTCTTCCGAGAAAAAAAGATGACTTATTGGTACAAGTATAATAGCACTTTTCCTTGGCAAATTTATTGAACTTTGACAATTTGACGTACTGTAAATGTGTTAAGGCTAAAAACTATACTTTTTTGTAATTAATCGTTTTAAAGAGAGTTTATTAAATATATCAGGATGACATAAACACATACTCAAATGTACATGTACATACAGTATCAAATAAATATAGATGCTAGTTATTCTCTCTGTCATCATCATCCACATCAACATCAAGGTAAATTTAGTTCCTTATTCGTTATTCATGGTAAACTACTTTGACGAATATTTCAAATTCAGTTTAATGAATAAATGTATTAGTGTTTCTCATCATATGTTACTCTAAACAGTTCCAAAAACAAAAAGCTACATTTTCACCCAAAATAAAGTAAATCAGGTTTCAGAAAATAGATTATTACGGGAAATATTCGCTTCACATTGAATATAATAATTATATATGATGATCCCAAGGAATAAATTGCCAAGTCCTGCTTATTTTAATATTTCAGCTGTCTGACACATTGTACAAATGAACTGATTTAATACAAAGCGGGTTTTATCCAATGATTCCTGAGCAAGAAAACACAAAAGTGACACTAAAATGAATAGAAGATAATGATATTGCAGTGTGTTGGTGGGTTTTGTACTGAATATTTTCAATTAATCAATCATACAAGTTGAAATCGATTTATGTTTTTCTAGTTAATTGATTTCTAAGTTTTTATCCCAGCTGTTATTAATTATTTAAAACTTGGATGGCTATCATACGGTGAGAGTCCCCTAGGAACTGACTCTGACTGTACCCGACAGTGTTGATTACATAGAGATATGTGAGATTAGTATTCGATAGTAAAAAAGTAATGCTTTAATTAAACATTATCAAATATCAGGTAATATTTCTGATTTGAAAGTAACATAGTATATGATCTATTTACAGTTAAGCAACTTGCGGTACTGAATTATAATGGTTCATTTTTTTTGCGTGGACCCAGACTTAAATGTAGGATATCAATATTATTATTATTATATTACAAAATCCTGTTCCTGGGTGAATCGACATTTACATGAGACGTGGTCGACACTGGATGTAGTCGTCACACATTAACACAGTATCGTTAACATTCCAAGGCCGATACTAATGTTATAACAAATGCAGAGCTACTTTAAATAAATGTACAACATTTGATATAGCGCCCTATCTAGCTAGAATAAGCCAATCTAAATCGATTTACACATCCGAGAGATCTGCAATTTATACAATCAAGAGTGATCAATATAAGTTGATAAAACTTGCTTCATAATTGTTGTAAAATAAATAAAGTTTATATTTAATCTATACAATCAATAAATTAACTTATGCGTTAAATGCATAAATCGATATATTTAGTCTTCTTTCTTCAAAATATTGGTTATCATCAGTCCAAAATTTCAGATGTGAAAGTAAGAGGTGTGTATTGGTAAACACTTAAACATGTCGCAGAAATTAATTATAACACTTAATTGTTTGTTTTCATTAAAATGCACTTTACTTTTCAAAAATGGTAGCAATTGATCAGTTTGACATTTGGATAGTTTAAATTGACATTCGGTATAACTTTAAATCGATATCAGGTGTAGAAATAAAACGTAAATCATGTCCATTAACATTCCGATATAGATACATACAGATGTTCACATGTTTATCCAAAGGCTCTTTATTCTTTACAGTAAAATTTGAACAATCTGGATCCATTTAGCATGGTGCCTTCAAATCCCCTTCAATACCTTACTAAACACTGCAGTAGAACAGTCCTATCGCTAGGAACTGGTCAACGTAGACACATGAGAACTACTTTGAACTGTCATTTTTAAAAATTAAAAACAGTAGAAAATATATCATGTTGGTTTTCTACAGGTTCTCCGTTTTCAACCCACATAAATAAAGTATTTCCATTATTCAAACCGGGCATAAAAGAGTCACTGATATAAGTTGGAAAAAACTTGTTAACTAATTGTTGTAGAATATTGTATTTTGAAAAGAATGACGCAAAATAATTGATACGACTTATTACGTTCATATGCATAGCTCTTATACATCTATCAACGGTTTCTGGTTTAAATTATTACATCCCAAAAGGCATTTTATGTTTAAGACTGGAACGTATGTAGATTTTGTAGAGTTATTTTAACCAATTTGATCCCAGTAGTTAGAATCTATTTTTCTTGAAACACTTTTGATATTAATTGACAATCAGGACATTTACTTACAAAAGTCTTTAACCAACAAAAAAAAGTAGTTTTTTTATTTGCTCTTTGTTATTATTTTCCATCAACAAGTATCCAAACACTTTCATTCGACTTTCAGATGACGCCATTGTTAGAACGACACAATGGTCTGACGCTCATAGGGATTATCGGTAGGTGTTAGTTTTGAATTATATATAAATGATATGTTAAATTTGATTACAGAGATCCCATGCAAAACATAATCCGAATTGATTAATGATTCTGAGGTCTGGAAATTGGCGACGAACAACAAGCGTTATTAAAGGCAAAGATCATCTTATTTTAAAAACTTATATCTATAAAATACCTTAAGATTTATTACCTAAATTAAAATTAAAAAGCAATGTGTTGTGACTGTTCAATCAATGAATAAAATTATGTTATACACAAGTAACAATAATTGAACTGTTCTTTGACGGGAACATCAATGTGTTTATCAATTTCGTATGGTCTTAATCATTTCAGCAATGATTTGCTACATCTGTCTGTGTGGAACTAACGGACAGAATACTGAGGGTAAGTTACTCATATCAGGTGTTTACAGAATAAAGTCAAGGTGTATCAATCAAACCACAAACGAGGTCATCGCGTTAATGTAAAGATTGGAAAAAATCTTAAACTTCTCATGGTTGTCAAACCAAGATCACGTTGGGAATTTATGACGTATCGCAGCGTCAATCGTTCAGTCCGCTACTAACAAATGTTTCTAAATGGAATCATACCAATATACCAATTTGACTGGAAAAACCTTCAAGTGGTTTGGATTAAATTTTTTACAAACGGTTGATTTCGTGGAGGGTTGGAAATATGGACCTTCTCTGAAACTATGTGAGTGATATCATCCATATTTGGCTGGAAGCATCCTCAGATGATAATTATTCCAGAATACGTTTATGGACTACCACTCTTTGGATAACGGACAATTAAATTGTTTTGTTTACTACACGATTAGTTTCATTTGAAAATGCATCTAACTTTCTGTCAAAGCCAGTACACAATAAAACTAGTATATAGCGGGCACAGGGATTTGCCCCAAAAGTGGGAATAGGTTTATGAAAGGAGTACTACTTTACCGGCTTGTGACAATGCGACAAACTATGTGTTCCGTATATGTAATCACACTCTAGTTGACTACTGTGTGGTGATGGGGTGTGGTTATATATATTTTATTTATGTAATTACAATGCATTTGAATACTGTGTGATAATGGTCTGTGATACTATATTTTTATATATGTAATTACATTGTATTTGACTAGTGTGTGATGATGGGCTATTGTACTATATTTTTATATATGTAATTACACTGCATTCGAACAATGTGTGGTGATGGTCTGTGGTTATATATATTATATATATATGTAATCACACTCTAGTTGACTACTGTGTGGTGATGGTCTGTGGTTATATATATTTCATTTATGTAATTACATTGTAGTGGTCTACTGTGTGATGATGGGCTATTGTACTATATTTGCATATATGTAATTACATTGTAGTTGACTATTGTGTGATGATGGGCTATTGTACCATATTTTTATATATGTAATTACATTGAGCTATCTTCTGTGTAACGATACGCTGTTGTACTGTATATTTTTATATGTATTTACATTTTAGTTGACTACTGTGAGATGATTGGGTGTAACAACAGCTTCACTGGTTGTTACGATACCAGAGTATCGATTAACGATACCAATGGATCGATTAACGATACCAATGGATCGCTTAACGATACCAATGGATCGATTAACGATACCAATGGATCGATTAACGATACCAATGGATCGATTGGCGACACAGGATGCAATTGTAACGACGGCTTTTGGGGCGTTTTTTGCGAAAACGGTAAGAAGAATAAGTAAGGTAAACCTAACTTAGTTAGTTTCATTTTGTTTATTATATTTTTTCCTCTGTACTCTTGGACGTTTAATCATAATGATAGATAGTGAACGATAATTAATTCAGTAACTCGAGTGAAAAATATTTTGACGTCAAAATTGACATTGTCTATTGCTTGTCGATTTCATAGTAAACCATGTTCTCTGATTTGTCAGTTTAGTGTGAAAATAACAAGGATAATTTACGAGCATGCCAGTAGCTTCAATAGATCACTTTAAAAAATAAAAAAAAATACAACAATGTGCAGAGAGAAGACAACTAGTAGAACCAATCCCGGATTCGATTCGAACCCAGGGCCTTCGATCACAATACGATCGCGTTTGCCAACTCAAACAGTGATGGAGTCCTGGCCTGTCCCACTACAGTGAAACTTAGAACGAAATAAATTATTTTTGGGCCGTTACTGCGCAAGTTAATTACCTTCAGTCTGTACTGCGAGTGCTATATAAATGAGCTTGTGATGTTCAAATATTAAGTCTTATCAATTCTGATATTAAGGACAGAAATCTCAATTCTTGGTTAATGAAGGTCATTTCGCTTAAGTCTGTCTGTCAGTCTCGATCTGGCCTAGTTATTTGCTATATCATTGCCTATTTCTCCTTTTGGAAATAAAATCTTACTTTAAAAAAAAATGAAACTAATATTATGCTTTGTACCTACATGAACGCACATTTAAAATGATCATATTAATATAATATCTCACTTATTTTGTTCAAATAAGGATCTGGGTAATTTTTTTGTTGGATATCTCCTGTTGCAGACATGCTCGAGGAGTTATATAACGTCTCCTTGGACACCAACCTCAACATGTCTGCCGTGACAAACGTAAGTCATTTGACAGTACTAGCCCTCGCGGACCACGTACGACATGGCTACTATCTCCTACCGAGCTCAGTGGTGAGTAACATGAAGGAAATACTGCTATCAGAGATTTTTTATTGGATTAGAGTATGTGCGTTTCTTTACCTGTAGTAGCTTATAAGCCGAATCTGATTGGCCAACCGAAAAATTGACAAATAATGAATATATCATTACATTGTTTGAAGGTTCATGGATTACTGTACTAACGGGAACATATAAAATATGGTGCCCCGTTGCAAAACTACGGACCTTTGCCTTTTTCTTTTCACTCCAACCTCCCCTTTCTTCTCTGTGGTGTCTTCATGTGCATCAGTCTTCACAAAATTTACTGGTACATCCCCTGTACCTACTGACATCGCGAAAGTACCTCCCTTTTCCTTACGTCATCCAAAGAGTACATCCCCTGTACATAACGTCATCTCGAGAACATCCCCTGTACATAACGTCATCTCGAGAACATCCCCTGTACATAACGTCAGCTCGAGAACATCCCCTGTACTAAACGTCATCTCGAGAACATATCCTGTACATAACGTCATCTCGAGAACATCCCCTGTACATAACGTCATCTCGAGAACATCCCCTGTACATAACGTCATCTCGAGAACAACCCCTGTATAAAACGTCATCTTGAGAACATCCACTGTACTAAACGTCAGCTCGAGAACATCCCCTGTACATCCACTACACATTACGTCATTTCGAGGGTAGAGCCGCTGTAAATAACATCATCCCGAGGGTAGAGCCCCTGTACATAACGTCATTCCTTTTCAACATATTTTATTGACATAGAAGAATGTTACACTGTCAAAAGGCTTGGACAACAGGCTTATAGTCTATATAAGTCCTCTCCATTGATGGTAGGTATATGGACATAATTGATTGACTTTATAATAATAAGATTTTTTTTCTTACTGTCAAAAATTAATCATTGGAAATCATTAACATATTTTGCGTTAGAGCCTTTTTTCTCTTTTTTTTTTTTTTTTTTTTTTTTTAGACAATATGTCATTACAAAAAAATGTTCATTCCTGTTCATTACATAATAGATATAAGCATAATTATTTAGTAACGGATACAATATCAATATGTACGAATTGGCTCGCTGATTTAATTTCTGGTACATATAAAATGTAATCAACAAACATTTTATTTTGTAATAATATTTTTGTGTATCCATTATATTTGGTAATTAGTGTCTGCATATTTTGGTATAGTGAAAAATTGCAGGTAAATAGGGTCTAAAGTTCTGATTATATTTCTTCTACATATTGTCTATAGTTCTACTACCAATTGTGTACTTAAATCTAATTAGATAATTACATAATTAAGAGGTTATTATATAAAATATGGTGTGGGTGTGGGAAGGGGGAACACTCCCATAGAATAGTGTATTAATTAGATTTAGTCTGCAATTTACATGTAGGTAATATATATATATACATCCTTAATCCTTTATTTTTGAATACATTTGAAACGCTCACATATTCCTCTTCATTGATATTTGACATGTTTATAAGTTTCTTACAAATTTTAAGGGAGGTTGCTTGCACTGTACTAGATGAGAGTTTATTAAACTCTCGGAGCATTGAAGGAAAAAAACTATGATAGTAGTTGTTTAATCTACAGAGTTGAGGGCTAAATATTCTATTTCTACGCAATGAATGCTTCATTATTGGTTGATAAAAGGGATGATTGATTCTTGCAAGTTTAAAGGCGCATGGCCATGTAATATTTTGTACATTAAGATCAATTGATGATTTTTTCCGACGAATTTCTAATGGTTCCCACCCTAATTCCCTATAAATTAAGTGATGTGATGTTCCTCTTCTCAGCCCTGTTATAATTCTTGCTGCTTCCAGGTGGATAGATTCTAGTAAATGTTTAAGTTGGGTTGTACAATTATTCCAAATTACATCAGCATATTCAAGTAAAGGTCTTATGAATGCAAAATATATTTTTATAAGAGTTTCTCTGCTAAGTTTATATTTCAAACAGCGTAGTATATTTATTCCAGTATACGCTTTTTCATAAATAGTTTGTATATGGGATTCCCATAACGTCATTCCTAGTGTACATCCCCTGTAGATAACGTCATTCCGAGTGTACATCCCCTGTAGATAACGTCATTCCGAGTGTACATACCCTGTACATAGCGTCATTCCGAGGGTACATCCCGAGGGTGGAACACATTTACATTACTTCATCCCGAAGGTAGAGCCCCTGTACATAACGTTAACCCGAGGATACATCCCCTGTACGAAACGTCATTTCGAGTACATCCCCTGTATTTACAGGTATATACCCTTTACATAGCGTCATCCTGAGGGTACATCCACTATACATTGCGTCATCTCGGGGGTATAACCCCGGTAAATGACGTCATCCCGAGGGTAGAGCCACTGTACATATCATCAACCTGAGGGTATATCCTCTGTTTATTACGTCATTTCGATGATATATTCCCTGTTCTTAACGTCATCCCGAAGGTACACCCCTGTACATTACGTCATCCCAACGGTCCATCCCCTGTACATAACGTCACCCAATTATACACACCCTGTACTAAACGTCCTCCCGAGGGTACATATCATGTTCATTACGTCATTCATAAGCTAGAGCCCCTGTACATAACGTCATTCTGAGGGTACATCCACTATACGTTGCGTCATCTCGGGGGTATAACCCCGGTAAATGACGTCATCCCGAGGGTAGAACCACTGTACATATCATCAACCTGAGGGTTTATCCTCTGTTTATTACATCATCTCGATGATATATTCCCTGTTCTTAACGTCATCCCGAAGGTACATCCCCTGTACATTACATCATCCCAACGGTTCATCCCCTGTACATAACGTCACCCAATTATACACACCCTGTACTAAACGTCCTCCCGAGGGTACATATCATGTTCATTACGTCATTCCGAAGCTAGAGCCCCTGTACATAACGTCATTCCGAGGGTACATCCCTTGTACATTACGTCATCATCCCGAGGGTAGAACACTTGTACATAACGTCTTCTGTACCTAGCGTCATCCCGAGGGCAATTAATGTCGCATGTTTTGCTTCAGTTCAAAAAGTAGTATTCACGTTTCAAAAAAAAATCATTTTGTTATTGTTAGATAAACGTAACACGTTTATAACACCATGTTGAAATAACTGAATGTTAACATTTACATTTTCGTTGCTGAGCCTCTCAATCACTGTCCCGATTCAAAATGTAAGCAAAGCCAAGCTACAAAAATTCTTGCAAGTGAATGTTTTCCAATCGGATATTGTTCGGAGTTTCCCGTCAAACCAATAAAGTAAATTGTGAACAATCATGTCGGTACATCAAATTCTAACTTTAACGGAAATTCCCAAAAAATATAAGAAACCATGAAAAAGTATTCTGTTTCTGGAAAAATTACTGTTTCGAAATTTGGTAAAACAGTTAATTCAAATGCATAATGACAAAGAGAAACGAATATTCTTCTAAATATTTTTTTTGTTTTTTTGTTTTTTGTTTTTGTTAGTTAAACAAAGGGAATGGATATTCTCGATGTTTTTAATGGTATGAAACATTGTGGATTATTTACATAATGTAAACAGTGAACCTTTCGCCTAATCACATGTTCGCTCTTCACCGCAAAGTTCGCGCAATGTTATATATCGCCCTTCACATGTTATAGCTATATAATAGTAAGCGGTGTTCTAATACTCGGTGTGATAATAAATTCAGCCCAATTGCGGAGAACAAAAAATGTGGAAGTTGAGCTTCACGAAAAAATTTCCGATAAATAGTATTCTGCAAGATTCGGTGAAGTTTGATATTTTTGGAATATCAAACATATCATAATTCATTTTGTTAGACAGAGGCATCATGTTTTAGACATGTGACAGTCAATTGGTTTCCACTATGTTACAGAACTTGGTGAGCAAAATACAACAGAATCTAGTGAGACAGGTAAAAGTAATCATGGATAAAGAAACGAACTTGAGCGTCTTCAAAAACGGTAGGTTGATTAAATATGGAAGCAATGTATATTGAAACTTTTTTTTCAAAAACAGGTCGGGAATGATAATTAAGAACATTTTACAATTCATGGTTTGTTAAATAACATAATTTTCCTGATTATATTGTAGTTCGGGTTAAGGTCATCGGATACGTACGCCATGGTTGTCGATATTTGTGACAGTTTACTTCTGAGCTCTTGCCTGTTTACATGAAGGCTATTTTGCAGCAGAGATTGTTAGGGTAATTTTGGAATTCCCTTTCATTCTTTATAATGTCAGGTGTTATTTCCTACTAAACAAACGCTAGCATATAAGGGTTAACTAGTTGTCAGTATGCTATAACCGGTTTGAATACTGTGTTGGGTGCCTTCGGCATGGTATTTCATCGAGGTAGCACTCTATATTCGGCATCAGATCCGCGCTATCGCAAGGAAGCAAGAACACCAACATACTGCCTCCAACACACATACATACACACATATATGCATACATAAAAAACATGGAGGCAAGATATTAGCTGTTAGTAGGACGCTTAAATGCCCTAGCATTTTATATGTTCATTGGCAATAAAGGATTTAACAGGTTAAAATGATACCTATTGCTCACGTGAATAACCGTTTTGGGATTTTTTTCTGAAAACATCAATCTCTTCCGTGTACTTTTTTAAACGAAATATTTTGTTATATTTTCAGTTGTCCCTATTTTTTTAATTTCAATTTTTCACTAATGCCTGCTTATAATTCCTTCACTGATGCCCAGAAATATATTTATATTTATATTGTCACTGATGTCCATGAAGATTTATTTACCCCCATTGTTTTTGTTTTTGTTGTTGTTATTTTTGGTATTTTTTTCATACATTTGTTAATATTTGCATTGTTAATGTTTTTATTTATGGCGATTGCTTTCAGATGTACTAAATATGTCTGACCAGATATTCAATTCAACCCCATCACTTCTCAGTGGCATCTATAGACTGACAGAACAACATGTAAGTACTGATAAGATGTGAAACCTTTTTGTATTTCAGAACCAGGTCATTTTGCTGATATGTTTTGTGAACTTTATTTCGAGAACAGAAATCGTTCTCAAAGTATTTTTTGCGTAAATTGTAAGTAATTTACATAGATACTGGACATATATGTATCCTCCATGCAAGTCATAGACTGAGAAAAAATATTCCTTTTACCTACTGTATCTAACATGGAAACCTGCTGAATTGAGGATTGCTAGTATGCCTTCCGTTTACGACCAGAAAGCGCTCAAAAGAAGCCGGCTGAACCCATTGCAACGATTTGGATCTTTTCATTTTTCTCTTTTTCCTACTTCTTTTCATTTCTATACGCCTTACTTGGCAATAACTCGCTTTTGGTCTTTGTATTGAGCATTCGCCCAAATCAGGCACTTGTAGCTGGTATTTCTATTATCTTAAATTAAAATCATCGATATACACACAATACAAGAATGTGAAACCTTTTCCGAGATTCTTGATAGCGTCGATTATAAGTTCTTAACAGGGTACCTTAGGCATGGTATGTGAGTGAGATAGCACTATAATATCGGCATCAGAGCTATCACAAGGAGGCAAGTACACCAACATACCCTGTCTCCAGCACACAGACACACATACACGGATACACAACACACATGGATACACCACGTCTTTAAATGATCTTAGTTAATAAAACGAAATATAACCAAACCAAACATAAAAGAACCTCCTCTAAGAACAGATATAGAAGGGTATTGTTACACCGAATGAAAATATACCAGATTAAAATATCATTGTTTGATCTCACTTCAGGCCAAGAATATAGTGATAAGCACAGAGGAAAACATACTCGAGATGATCAAGATGCTGCTTAGTCAAGTCAACGTGGATCAAGTGGTCCACACTGGTAACATTCCATACACGATGTTTTCCCTAGCATACACTAAAGCTAAGGGACCAAATCTACCCTTCTCATACAAAACAAAGTTTGGCTCCTTCGATCTGCCATTCTGGGAAACATTCCACGACCAGATCAGATATGAAACGGTCTCCGTCATAGTAAGTACAACATTTTAATGTTACTAATGTTTTTGAGTTTGGTCAGTTTCAGAACTTAACATATTGAAAAGCTTTGTGCAATTTTTATGACCTCCTGTTTTATAAGAAAAAAATCTTCAGGTCCATTGATTTGAATGTTTTAATCTGTTTAAAACATATCTTACTTTTTTCAGGAAATATGTGAAAATTACAAATTGAAAATACTTAAGATTTTAATGTTACCAGTTTAATTGGAAGCAAAACGTTTTTTATGATAGTTGGTTTGAACTCTCAAGTTTTAACGCACTTACTTTTAGCGTGTAAGTATAATCAAGATGGTAAAATAGAACCCATAAGACCTTTAAAAGCAAACCGAACTCGTAAAGTATAGCTTGCTTATCACTTGATATCCGATCACTCAAAACGTGTGATTTCTTGCGGTTCATATGCTTTGCATTTACATCCATTTTGTAAATTCTAATTTTTTAATTGTTATTTGAATTATTTGTCCTAATACTACATAATCTTCGCTGTTTCTGTCCTAGTTGTTGACCTACGAGACAAGCCCATATTTCTTCGCCAGCAACGCTGATGACATAAGTTCTGGCCTTGTCAAAACGATCGTTACAGACAGAAAAGGAAATGACCTCAATGTTGAGGACCCGGATGACCCAATAGCACTTGACGCGTCGGCTAAGCGGGCTGTAGATCCGGTGAGTGGTTGGTCAACTCTAGATCCGATCCAATCACAGGAGGGAGCGGCATTCCTGGCCGTTGCAGCCTTTAACTTCACCGTAAACGCCGTCATTGTTGACCTTAAACTGGCCACTATGAAACTGTGTACTACATACGCCGCATACGGTAGATCCACCCCGACAGTTGACGAATATGACTTCAAGGTAGAGACCATGGGAAAGAGCCGTTTAAAGTCTGTGTTTCCGGAAGATTTCAGGGCAAGTTACTCTGATCAAGTTCTGCAACTGGCATTGAACTATAAGGGCGAGGAATCAATAGCGAAACCATTCTTGATGACCGTCATATGTGAAGGTTTGTTTTCATGATGACTTGAGTGTTCAAAGACACCTTAGCGTCGTGCTATCATTCTATTTCAAAAAACAAATGTTTAAGAACAAATTAAGTGAATGAATTTTCGAATTTTTTAAAAATCCTTTTAACATATATAGAAATATATTGATGAATGAAGATAGATCTAGATAATGAGCTAATATCTCAAGATATTTTAGGAACTTCAAATCATATTTTCTATTTTAAATATTTGTAATTTTTTCACAAACCTACGGTAACTATATATCTGTCTGTTTGCTTTTATTTTGTATCCGATTGCAATCAGAAAAGGGCATTTCCATATTGATCAAATAATAGGTGTTTTCTGTTTAATTTACGGCTGATCACTACAATATCATCATGAATATACATACATACAGGTGTATGCATTATGACAAATTGATAGATTATGATTTGCTCAATTCATAATATATTATAGAATACAATTGATAATCGAAATGTTTTATTTAATTTTGATTATATAAATGTTTAAAATATTTTATGCATATAATTATGTTTTATGTTTATGAAGAAATGTGGTATAATTTCAATGATAGATATTTTGGAGTATTATAAAATTTCTTTCAGATGACTCCCTTATAGGAAACGGTAGGTAGTACTTTCGCATCTCAATTTGAATGTTACTACGTCAAGAATTTCATTTTAAGCTAGAAAATAATTTCTATTTTGCCATATTGCAGTATTTTAAAAATGTAAAAAAAAAAACGCTTGTTAAATAATTTCATTTTAAGAGAGAAAAACAATTTCTATATTGGTTTATGGCAGTATGTAAAAATTTAAAAAAAACACAAAAAACACAAAAAAAATGCAAAAAAACCTCTCACAGAATTTAAAAAACACATTTTTATTTTTTCTAATAAAACCCGTTTCTTTTGTAAGTATTTCGGACTGTTTTACGGGGCGCGAGCCTCGTCCTGGAACTTGGTTGATTATGAGGTTTATTTCTGTAGATGTTAAAGAACACAAGTTCCGCTTGTCCCTCGTCGACCTAAGATATTTTAACCCATCGAAGGCTCAGTGGGAGAAAACACAAAATGTGGAGGTAAATTCTATGCTCGTCGGGTTTTAATATGTTTTATCATTCGCGACAATTTTATATCAAAAACTGTAAAATTTGTGACTAATATACCTCAATAAATACAGTACTGACAATGTCATGACAAGTTGACAAAAATGGTAATACAAATATAAACATCACTCATGAACAATATAAATGTAGTATTATGTAGTTACTAATGTCGGTTATTTATGAGCAAAACTCGATATTGATATTTTTTAATTATGAATTAAAAAAGCTAAAGGTGTAAAAATAAATGTGGCATTTGTCATGCGTTTCTATTTGTGCTTGAGGTTGGCTTTTACTTTCAACCAAAATTATGTCATAATGTGTTTATTGCATACTATCTTTAATATATATACATATTTATTAATTTCATTCATGTAACGCTTCCCTGAAAAAAATCATAATGCGTAAAAAAGTCATTTTGGCAATTGTTGACAACTATTCCGTCTTTGCGTATTGCAGAGTTATCTTCTCTTGTGAGCAGGTATTGATTGTTACGGCATTGGTTTGTGTGAGAAAATTACGTCGTTTTCTCAAAAATTGATGACGTTATTCTCACAAACCAATGCCGTAACAATCAAAACCTGCTCACAAGAGAAGACCACTCTGCAATACGCAAAGACGGAATATAAAATGCCGTGTCTAAGGACGGAACAAATCATTTTCTTCACATAAACAGTTGGCATCTGGGAAAGCATCGACCGTGGCCTTCAAGAGTAAGATGTTCGGGACCTTTTCGGCAGATATGTTTTTGATCCCTCCAGACACTATCGATTTTGCGGCAGTGTTTCTAAATTTTGCGGAGCGCCTACAATCCAACCCCTATGCACTGGCTGTTATATTGTCACTATGGTTTCTCTTGATCCTTTTTGCCGTCATCCTCCGACGGATGGATATCAAAGACGAGGCTCTGGTAAGGCATCATGCAAGAGGGATGTTTACATATTAGTACAGTACGCAAAACGTTTTCAAAAAGTTTGAAACGCGCATTTGTTAAACATATTGACAGAAAAGTCAATATTTTAAAGATAACTGTCAACCAGTAGCTATTTGTTGATGGTTCCCTTAGTTGATTACAGTTAAATGGTTTCTCCGATACATTCCGTTTACTGAAGTAAGCTTCCGGTATTGTTGACTATCCGTATTGTACGCGATTGGTCAACTTACACGAATAGAAACCACGACTCAGTAAGGGTAGTCTAGCAGCATAAAGAAAATAATAAGATTCGATTCATTGATATCTAAAAGAATAAACAGCTGTTCCTAAAATCGATTGCATGCATAAACCCGAAAATATATCTTTAATGAAAAAAATCAGATGTTACTATTCAAGAAAAAAAAATATACATGATCAAGTGTACCATTTCTTCTTTTAAAGAATGCATAGTACTATTTGCTCGAGTGTCTTCCAAAATATGATGATACAAGTGTATTATTGTCTGTTGAGTGTTGTCTATTCATAGTTTTAAGCTCGACTCAAATAATATTTCTCGATCATCGATCGTCCTCTGCAGGATAGAAGAGAGATATGAAATAATTGACTTGCTTAATTGCATGATAATACGTGGTGACGAATATAGTACCGCCTCCAGAACTGGTTTTTCGCTTTTAAATATGATCTGATGGTGTGTCACGCGCTTTATAACATTTCAATGAGATATCACTTTCAAATAAAAAAAAAAAAAAACATTCTTGTTAATGTAGCGAAATGAAAAGGAGAAAGGTGTGTCCTGTTGGCGATTCCATCAAATGCAATCCATATATCTCCTTATGTATGGAATATAAAAAAAATTGTCAGTTAAATTTGAATTGATTATTTAATCTTTCCAATTTTTAAGTTTATCATGTATTCATGCCAGTAGTTATTTATCACCATCCCGACTACATGCTACTTTTTTTTAGTGTTACCTTACAAAAGTTGATACATATTGCACGTGGGACTCTGTATTCCTGTATCTGACACAAATATGTATTAAACGAATATATCCCATTTACAGTGGAATTATCTCCCCCTTGTTGACAACAACCCCTGGAGTTCTGCAGGATACTTAATGACGGTGTCAACTGCCCTGCGTTCATCTAGAAATCTCACCTCATCTCCGTACTTTAACATCGTTGGAAGTGATGGTGAGACAGGGCCAAGAAGCATGAATGATGCCCTAAGAAAGGTAAGGTGATACGATGTTTGCTTTCTTTCATAAATAAACAGATATTTACTACACGATAAATAAATACCTATCTCCAACAGTGCATCGTCTGTCATAACCTGTTGTTGCCATTGACGGTAATTTCGTTATTAATTTGCATGTTTCCCATACAAACTGATGTTTCCTCAAAGTCTCTCTTTCTCTAGATGTAATTTGAATCCCATTCTTTTGTTCATAGCTCCACTAAAAAAAACCAAAATCGAAATCTATTGAACATATCTTCAGCCAACACCATAACCATTTCAATGACAAGTGTTTTCCTTAAACAATGTAGTATCTTAGTAGAAGTTTTTTCTTGAGCAGGATTGACATGTGTCTTCACTATTTTATTACAGAACTTCCGGCGAGGCACTACGTCACACTTCTACGTCACGACACCGATACACTTAGGAAAGCTCAAACACATTATTGTTTGGCATAACAATGAGGGTTCTTCGCCAAGATGGCTGCTCACTAAAATTGCCATTCAAGATATGGAAGAGAATAGCAGGTAGGACAGAAATAACAGTTACTTTTTGTATATTGTTCACACAAGTTTGATGAGATGAATATTCCATATGCTTCGGTGCGGTTACCTCAAAATTATAACCATAAGAAATTATGATATATACAACGTTAAAAGCTGGAACCTCCGGATACAAACAGTATTTTGTTATTTTATAACCAAACCTTCAATGTTCCATTTAACAATTTAACAGAAAATCAGGCAATAATCATATTAGTTAACGCCACTTATGTACAGCATTTTATGCGTGGTCATTGTCGTCTGCGCAAGCATGAATGCAAAGAACGCTTGGCCTCAGAATCAAAACCTGTGTAAGAGAAATATTACAATATTATTAAATAAATCATGATACCAAATGCTCTGCTTGCATGCTTCACTTATATTTTTTATATCTATAACTCGGATCGAATCCGTCTTGCAACTTACAGAATCCATGCCTGAGTTGTAACCAGCATCCCTGTCCAATAATCTGAATATTATATACGTTATATTTAACGATTTTAATACGTTCTTCGTACGTTTACTAGATACGTATTTGTATGTGGGGAATGGCTGGCATTAGACAGAGCAGATGGCAATATCTGGAAGCGTCTTCCCGCCCAGGACGAGAAGGCAATTGACAGCCAGCTTTTATTCTCAGAATTGAGTCTTCGTCAACTGTTTGACGACAATTTATGGTTCTCGATATCTGCTCGGCCACACTTCAGCAGGTTTAACCGCGTCCAGCGACTATGGACGATTGGGGCCCTGCTTTTCCTCTCAATGATTGTGTCTGCCATGTTTTACAACACACCAGCAGGCAAAGAGAACAGTATCAAGGTTGGACCTTTTACCTTCAGCTACAAACAGGTGTATATCGGATTCGTTGCTGCCGCTTTGGCAGTAATACCAACTTTCATAATAATGTATATTTTTCGAAAGAGAAATTTCAGAAATGAGTACTTAAAAGATGACGTAAGTAATACGTCTGGAAAGGAGAAGTTGAAAGTTCCTCGACGCCTTCCCTGGTGGACAATATTCATAGCATACTCCCTGGTGATTGCGGCTATTCTGAGCAGCTCAACATTCACGTTTCTGTATTCACTCGACTGGGGTGCAGATATCACATTACAGTGGCTACTCACCTTCTTCATGGGAACATTGCAGAGCATTGTCATCATTGAGCCTCTCAAGGTAACGTATAGGTCAGATTGTGAACTTTCATGTTGGTCAAATGGTTAGACCAATATAATTTCACATAAACGTTCTAGATTCATTACCGGTACAAGCAGGGTTATATAATTCCCCCGGATCAGCATAAACACATCTTTTTTTATAGCTCGTAAGGTCTATACTTATGTCGAAGACGCATCTTTCGATGTCACAACAGCTAATACCAACACCGTAAAGAACGTTAGGTAGAAAGTAAAAAAACTTGAAAATCAGTTTTGGATATTAAATGTCCATGAAGAATAAGATATAGAAAAATAAAATATTCTGAATGGGGCACAGATATATCACCTCCTTTCCCGAATCTGCAAGGGCACTTTCCGAAGGTTATATGCTAAAACACTGAGAATATTAATTTACATGTCAGGAACCACAGGTTTAGATCCGAAATCACCAAAGTACTTCAAAAAGGTTTTATTACTGAGATATCGTCTTGTCTAGTGACATGTATGTACTCACCTGTGTCTTGCCTTCTTTATTATCATATTAGTTATCTCCCCCTTCCAGGCCGTTGTACTAGCTGCTGTACTCGCTTTCTGCTGTAGTGGTGGGGCCAGGAAAACATTGATGGATGTCCCCGTTACTCGCAAAACCAGGCAAATAGAAGGTATAGTAATCGTCCCTTGAATACCATGAGACTTGTCTTTACAAATATCAACCAAACTATGAAAGAATGTTTAGATGTATTTGATATTTTTAAACTTTAACAATCAGTGTTCAAGATGATTATACATGTTTGAGGTTTCCTTACTTCTTATTAAAGGCACATTGGAGAGACAAATGTGAAAGATGATGAGAGATTTTTTGTGATAATGATTATATTCTAAGATGTTTCAAAGTATAATCTCCTAAGTAGAAACAGGTGTCAGACGTTATGCAAGAACCTGGCATCTTTGTCATTTTGTTGTAACACTTTATTATAAATTTTGTACCTTATTTTTTCTCCTCAGCCTACGATGTACCAGTGGAAAAGCAGTGGTGCCCGGAAAACATTCCAAGTCCGGACGAGATCCAAGAGGTCTCAGAGATAGATAAAAACGGACACCGGATGAAATTGGACAGAAAGTTGTCTAAAAAGTTCTTCTCCTGGTCCTTGAGCATAGGCTATGCTAGTCTTCTGCTCATCCTATGTTCTCATAACTTTATCGAAACAGCATTCTACCAAAACAATTACCTGAAAGCAACGCTACAACCAAAAGCAACGGTATGTATTGTTTTTTCAACTATTTGACAAGACACCACAATCTAGAATGCGAAATCAGGAACAGAAACATTTAATGATTTTTAGGTACGTGTATATGATTTATATAAGGTACACATTAAATGACTAAGGTACATGGATGTGGTCTGTCCCTGATTAAGAAGGATACAGATAAAGCATACACAAGTTTTGTATGCATACAATTTATGACAATTATGAAACAACATATTTTTCAACTTATATTAATCCCCCTTGTTGGACGGGATGGAGACTCGAAGGGGTCTTAATGTGGGAGGAAAGTAGAATGCCCAGAACAAATAAAATCCACGTGGTCGGGCAAGTGACCCCATACCTTTTCACGTCCGACTGAGGAAGCAAGCCCTGTTTTTTTTAGTATTGATTATTAAGGTCTCAAGTTATATAAGAAAGTATATGGAAATTGTCAATTAATCATCTTTAAGTGTGAATAAAATCATGTGCATGACGCCGCCTACTTATCCTTTTCTGTAAAATGAGAAAATAGTTATTCAATTCGTGATAACCACTCAAATGAGTCGATATTCGGGTAAATAATTAGATGAAACCTAAAAGAAGAATTCACTGACAGGTTTCAATATTCCTCACTCGATATCCGATATTGTAACATTTGAAACTACGTGTATTGTTAATGTAGAATTTTATTTACTCACATTTACGAAGCTTACAATGTTTTGATCATACATGCATACAGTATTTATATTTCAGATTACACGAGTTGACGATATCTGGACCTGGTTCAATGACGTGTTTATCGTCAAGGTATTCCCAAAGTTTGCATATAATGGACGAATAAGATCATCTTACATACAGAGATTCTACGATGATGAATATCTATATCGCATGGGATTGATTAGAATACGCCAAGTTCGATCTTCAGGTGCGTTGATAAGTTACTAACAGACTTTGTTCAAACAATTTCGAAGATGTATGTTTGGTTAACATAATTGAGTTTAGCGTCCTATTAGCAATTAAGGTTATCGAAGGATGTTACTATGTGTGTAAAATCCATGCATGTGTGCTGTGGATGGTATTTTGTTGTATTTTCTTCTTTTCGATGGCGCGGATCTGATACCAAGTAAAGAGAGCTACCTCACTGAAATATCATGCCGAAGGCTCCGAGCAAATATTCTTACCGGTCACATAACAATGACAAAGGGTTTGTGTTGGTTAGGGTGTGGTATTGTGAAGCATGGTGAAATGAATCGGAATCTTTGGTAGAGAATATTATAAGGATGGGACGGGCACCGGGGGTTCGTATTTACCATAATAGTGGTTTGAAAGGTTTCAGCTTCATTTTCTATTTGACTTTTATAAACCAATGCTGTTTTAGTTTACATCAATTTGTTGTCCTCTATATGAAAAAAAAAAAAATGTCCGGGGTAGAAAAAAAAAATTGTGTGGTAGGGGTGATTTTACCATACCATTTCTTTCTACGAAAACTACTTTTTTGAGCAGGTTTTCAGTTATCTCTAAAATACGTGTTTGAACGTCCATGCATGTTTTCGAAAAGTTCAATATGTGTTTTTTGTCACCAATTGAAGTTTCATTTATTTTTCCAGATATTGCAAATAAATAATGAATTAACAATCATTCCATTCACTGTGTTAACGTTGATCTGATTTGTTTTCCATTGTAGAGAAATGCACGCCGATCGATGCGTTTGTTGGGTTTGTGAAGTGCACATCTGATTACTCAACTAACACTGAAGAAAATGGGGAATTCTGTAAAGGTCAGTATACGATAAAACAGTACATTTCTTCCCATGATTAAAGCAAGTCATTACGACTCAGCAAGCACAGTTAGAATAAACGAAGCATATTTATTGACGGATCGTCTAAAAGGGCTTTCCACCAGTAAGGTGGATCGACTGGTACTCTACCACGTAGCAATCTCGAAATCGCAAGTTCGCATCAACCGGACTTAAAACAATCTTTCATAAAAAATGCATTGGAAATGTTGCTGTATATTCGTTTAGAAATGTGCCATGAATCATGAAATCAGTTGGAGTATTTTGTTCTGCAGAGCTAGAGTCGTAATTCTTTTAAGGGCTGTGACGTCATCATTTTTGTAATTCCGGTTTTTTCCTTTCAAAAAAAATATAAAAAGTAAATGTGAAGTTAATTTTTCACTTTCAGACTATTGTATCGTATTTTGATAGAAGCAAGGAATATACTTACCACTGCTGCATACAGTTCAAGGTTATTCTGACCTCGAACAACATAACCCGGAAACAGTGTGCCTAACCAAGACAAGGCGACGATTTGATTGAAAGCGCTCTACCGAACAATATGTATCGTTGGTCATGTGCAGATATCCTCGATATCCAGGGGTTACGCTCACTTTCTCTCTCTGCATCCCTAGAATATGTCATAGCAAAAGTGAAGGCACGCCGCTAGTTATTTGATTGGTGTTAAGTTAAAAAAAAAAACTGACAAATCACTGGGCTGATTCTGTGTCTTTTGAAGATTACAGAGGAGCGAGGCCCGACTTCAAAGCCAATAAGTTTAACCGTTACGCGACCGCGAAATTCTTTTGATGTACATCAAAGGATTTAACTAATCTTTTCGTCTCTTTCACAAGGCGGTTTACATTGATCCTTCGGTTTCGCTATGACAGCAGAGAGCGAAAATGAGCGTTACCCCTGGATATCGCGGATGTAGTTAAAATTGCTCGAAGAAACAAATAACAAAAGACCTTTTTTTCTACACAATCCATAGAAGAACAGTGTTTGCTAATAAGTCGATCTCTACTGTTTTTGTCCTAAATAATGGTTTTATCTATCAAGGTTGGATGCCGTACAATGACACCTGTTTTGACGAAAACGAAGAAGTGGACTACTCATTTAAGTACTTTTCGTCAAAGGATACGAAAGCGTTCCCGACCAATGGAGTGCACGAAATGTATGGACCAGGGGGGTATTATATGGATATCGGACCTAAGCAATCAGCCGCAGTCAGGTCTGTCGCCGAACTGAAGACGTATGATTGGATAGACCAGAACACCAGAGCAGTCTTTGTCTCGTTCATGGCGTATAACGGAAACACACACCTTTTCAGTTACGTCAATGTCATATTCGAGTTACCTCCCCTTACCGGAATTACAACAACGTTCAATATTGTTTCTGCGAATTTGTACCCCTACAATACGGTATGGGATTACATCATCCTCTTAGCTCAGTTTGTTTTCATCGTTGTCGTCATCGTCAGACTGGTCCTACTCATCAAGGACGCGGTTGTGTCCAGGGGGAGAGTACTCCGTACACTAACGTTCTATGCTACAATGTTTGATATAATGATATGTATCGGTGCCATCGTGTGTTACGTCATCAGACTGGACGGCACCATTTCCGCAATCAACAAGATAGCTAAGAACCCAAGTAAGTACATCAACTCGATTACGATACTTAACATTTGAAGTTTAGTATACGTTGCATACAAGTACGTTTATTCGAAGAACATCGTCGCCTATACTTACATAGTCCCGGGCGTTTGCGTTTGGAGTTTGCGTTGACGTTTGGTGTTGCCCTGTTAAATTTTTGGTGTAAATGACGTTAACATTCGTTTATATAACCTTCAGTATTTGTACTAGGATGATGATATGTGGCATGGGTATTTCTAAGGGGTCTAACATTGATCTATTTTGGTCAATTCAAACAAAACTGATACGTTTTGAACTTGACTAGTTTTGCAAGCATACATAGGTTTAAGCTTTGGCAGTAAGTGTTGATATTCAATCATGATGCTTTCATTCGTACTAAGATGTTTTTTAATAGCAATAGAGGGATCCAGCATTGATGAAAGTTACTTATGTCAAAATATCCATGTTACGTTCAGTAACAATCAATATTTGTATTTGTGTTTTTTGGCATGGATGTCATATAAACTTATATTATTGTACAAAATAAAACCAGCCTAATTTTATCAATATATACATAGCCTGTTTAATCCTCAATATGATAATTTAAGACTGAAAAATAGCGTAATAATTATATTAAATATGCTTAACTAGTACACTTTTACACTAGACATCAGGGCCCGGTTGCTCGAAAGGTTAGTAAACGTTAATCAATGGTTAGGGAAAATATCAAATCAGTTAACTGCTATTGATTGTTTAAGACAAATAGTATCGATGTGTATAAGGACTAAATTTGCTGTGTACGTTCTTGCTTCTTATCGGCACTACTTTTCACTTTTCACTAACCCTTAGGGGCGTAAATGGTCATTTATGGCCTTGTCGGGGATTTTAAATTAGTTGATATATTCGTAATCTGGAATAAGTATATTACACAAATATGAAATTTCAAATTCATACGACAAATGGTTTACGAGATATGGCATTACAAAGAGAGACACTATCTCGCATTTTCATAATAAAATGCGTGAATAACGCCTGTTGTACGTTTTTTGGTTGAAAATTGGCCATTTTGAAGGAAATTAACTTAACACTCTTAAAATTTTGAAAGCATACGCATGCAACAAACAAATAAATAGCGTAGGTTTTCATTTCTGCATGCTAATTGTTCAAAAATGTTATTCAGTGTATTTTGGCTATTTCTGCACAGAAACGCAATTTTGATGCTATGGTAGGGCATCTACACATGCACATAGGGAAAAAATCTGCACAAAGACCAAATTTGGCGTTTATAACAGAAATTGATAAATAAATCATCCAAGTTAAACATTTAACTTTTTATGAGGCCTAAAATGGCCCATTACGCCCAAAGTCCTTGAACCAACCTTTGATAAACTGAAGCCTGATCTGAAAATTCAGTTGATTAGAAACTGAAACTGTTTCGACATCCGAAAGAAAAGCAAAGTAAAAATGGTAGTTCAATTCAACCCTACTTTATTTACTGTAAACATTCTACAATTAAGTTGATATATATTTTTTGTTGTAGGACAACATGTTTCCTTTGAGCAAGCAAGTACTATGGATTTACTCTTCATGGCTTTTATTGGTTTCGCTTGCTTTAACGCGATCATCAACCTTCTGTCACCATTAACGTTCAACTATCACTTTCATTTGTTTAAGGTGTTTCTCGACCTCTCTAGATACACGTTGTTCTCGCTATTTCTCGTACAGGCCGTGTTGTTTGTTGCCTTTACGTCTATTGTGTACATGTTCTTCCACATGGACAAATGGGAACTGCGGAACTTCTACAGTACGGTACTCTTCCTCTACAGAGTGGCTTTGGGCATGTTCAAAGTCGGTCACAGTATCAAGTTTATAGATTACGGCAGTGTCATTGTATTCACTCTTTTTGGGTTCTCAGTGAGTATTGTGGTGATGAACGTATGCATAAGTGTACTGAACGTCGGGTTGAGCAACGCACGTATTGCCGTCAAGAAGAACAAGAGGCATAGATTTGATACAGAACTGAACGACTTCTTCTTTTGGAAAGTGAATAGCGTCTTGCGAGTGTTGACGTTTCGCAGCGGTAAAAAGAATACTGTGATGAGTAAATACGCTGCGCCTGGTAAGTTTATTTTTTATACTTTTTCCTGTAAAATATCAGAATGTTAAACCGGTGAAATGTATAAGAAAGATCTCTGCGGTAAAGACATAAGAAAAATGTGATATCCCAACAAGGGATTATATTAGGTCCTGTATCGATGTATCTATCAACTGCATTCCAAACCGCAGATAATGTTTTCAGCTGAAGTTGTAACGACGGTAGAAAAATGGTAGTTTCTGTACATCAAAGGTATTAATACAACTTACATAATTGATAATATTTTGGTAGGCAAATCATAAATGATAATAGCAGAAAACTACTTCAAATAAATAAATATATAAAAATACTCTACTTAACCACGCGCTCCATTCATGTTGTAATATCTTCGTCGTTGCACATTAAATACTGTACCAAACAGAAAATCCCATTGAATATATTTTATATTTCACTTGTATGGTAGGTTATATTGACATTTTCATTCTTGCTTCGCAATCATGAAAGATGTTGTTATTATGACTGCCATACTTGTGAATTTGTACTCAACAGGAAATAATTAAATTAATTCTATATATCCCACACTGTTGTTGATTACAGTTTATTTTAAGGGTTTTTTATTTATTTTTTATGTTATTTATTTACTAATCATATCTGCCGAAAATTTGTTAAAGATCTCAACAAATCTGTGGTTGATAGACTGATAAAGAGGAGAGAGAAATATATATTATATATATATTATATATATATTAGCTCATTCACCCCTGAAGACACATTTGAACTCTTCCAATTCAAAGGTTGGAATAGTTCATAATGAAATTTCAGGGGTGAATGAGTTAAACAATGTTACAAAATCGATATAAGAATAGAATATAATACTAGTAATGAGACTGTTTGTTTCATAATGATTTTTTTTTATTAATTCCTTGTGTTTCTTATCAACTTAATAATAACTCCGATTCTGCTCTCATACATCTTTTTCAATAAATTTACAGAAAAGGAGAAATCTGACCGACTTCAACGATTACACACGGTTTGTCTACTTGTATCTTCGTATGTTAAAAGACTCATCTTTTCTGTACCAAGTTACGGACAATGCTAGTCATGAAAGTACTAAATAAAATATATGATTGAAAAGCAATACCATATATTTCAATTATGCATGTACACTGAGTTACGCGATATAATAAAACCTGCTAATAAGAACGGAATTCAAAATCATATGTTTGATGTCATATCAGATATTTTCGTCGGACAGTAATTTCGTGGTAATCGACAAAACACCATTTCGGGGGTACATGAATTCGTAGAATACGAGTACCCACCCAAACGGAGAATTGCTTAATATCAAACTTGGAATAACATTGTGGATCTATGAATCTTTCAACGAAGATAACCCACAAAATCAACAAAATTTACAATCTTACGAAAATAAGTGATTTCACAGTAAATTCGTAGTGTTGAAATTTGTCTTAAATTCTGATATTTGTTTTTATAGAAAGTGAGCAATTTTAAGTCTTTTCGGTGTGAAGATGCCGATCTAGATATATTTAAAGCAAGGACATTGCGAAAATGAGATGTTTACAGTGAAAGAATGTACGCCTCTTGTTGAATTAATACTATTTTTTAAAACGAAGAAATATTCTCTTTGGAATGTATTATGTATACTTACTTGATAATGATAGAGGTGGGTTTTGTTTACAGATGAAAGGCTTCGAGAACATGGTATTCAATATGGCGAGAGAGGCTTCCTCCAACGAGCAGCAAATCTTTAGATCGTGTCTAAAGTTGCAGAAAAAACCGACCGACCGAAGTCAGCTACGTTCCACATGTACTTCAAATACAGACAAAACAACTATCAAGTATGGCAGTCATCAATTTGCAAACATTATTTGATTTACATTTCTGCTTCTTTGAATTTTTGCTTTAGTGTATCAGTTTTTCGAACCAAAAATTCCATAAACTACCATACAATTTATTTCATCTAAGAATCATGCTGTATCCAACTTCATTCTATTGAGAATATGATTTTTATTATTTATTTTAGAATAGATTTGTTTCAATATCCTATGTATTGAATTTTAACCATTTACCGTGAAATCTCGTTTTGGTGTACTAGGTTGTGAAAGTGTTTCTTTTTATTGCTGTTCGGCCCGATATGACTTAACCATTAAATAAGTTATTGATGTGCTGAAATACAAGTATTTTTTGGCGTTCAATATCAGAGTATGATTGTCTTCAATCTAATGACATGCATATTTTTGTTTCTTACCTGTAGTTGTTAAGAAGCGGCCTCCGTATCCATTTTTTGAGTGGTGGCACGGTTCATAATATAGATTTTCGGTTACTCAGTATTTATTTCTAAATTAACTAATACCATAAATGAATAACACTGCACCATACAGTTGTTTTGGTCCTTGAAGTGTAATTCATTTTTGGAAAACCATCTATTGCAAAATTATATGCGCAAATACATTTGTGTTTCATGGTCATCAACCAACACTTTATAGGTACTACGACCAGACCTCAAAGTTTATTATGGCTTTAGTGTTCCCAATGGCAGTCAGTGACCAAGACGTCATCGTCCACAGCATAGACGTCATTAAGGCCAAAATTAGGCACCTTTACCCATGTGACGCATCCTCTGTGCCACTGAGCAAGATGTTTAAAGTGAAAGCAAGAGCAAGGCTACGTAAGAAGGTAAGAAAACCCGAATGTTACTAACTGTAAGAAAACACATGCGGTGAAAATGTTCTTCTAGTTAACGGACAATAATAACCTGCTGCATCCAAAGAGGTGATTAATGTAGGGAACCCTGCGGAATGGGGAGTTTTGTTCTGCTTTCTTAGAGAAAAATGAAGAGACCAAATGGTATACTGCCCCATTGCAGGTCTTTGGATGTCTCCATTATTCTTTTCCCTCTGACCTAATCTTTCCCTTTCGGCGACGCCTCTCAAGGCACCGTTTCCATGTGGCCTTAGTCGTGGAGAGGTGTTACACACGACTGAATAAAATTGCCAGCACACTAATTAGTGACATTTCCCTAATTTTACTATAACGTATCAGAGCATCAGACAGTTGTTGGTTAAGTGTGCGACAGATTAAAAATCTGGAAAACAAAATTCAGTTTATTTATCCTAATACATTGACGTATTGCTTGATTAGAATGTTACAAATTTAACATGCAACCATATACTAGCGCATTCATGAATTGGCACACTCACAAAATATGCGATTAAAACATATATTCAGAAATAATTATTAGCGCGATCATAAATAAGCGCAATGATTAAGTTCGAAAAACCCTGAAATTTGAATACGGCTAAAGTATAAACGCTTACTTCAATTAAGAACAACGTATTTACATCTATTGTAGGGCTCCGTACAGGTGATGATTGTCGATACGAAACCGAGGAGTACAATAGAGTTACCGGCCTTTGTTGTGTCATCACATGACAAAGGAAAGACATGGGAGACAACTGCGGCCAGCCCGTCATCGCGGGTTATGATGAAGGTTGGTCGATTTGGAAACACGATTATACTTATATCCAATTCTGTCAAGATGAAATAAATTATACCTTTGAAATAATATTATGTTGAATATGCTTCAGTTTTGTTTTATTTTTTGTTTCATATCTGATTGAACACCATATGTATTTAGATCTCGCTTGAAATATTCCTTCATTATTTTTTTCCAACAAATAAATATTTTTCTTGTTAGTAGCATGTTGATATCTGTCGATTTGATTCACCTTTCTACTTTTTTTCTTAAGAACAAACCGTGTGTGTCAGCGATGATCCGCGCATGCCCAACGCACTTCATGGCCATCTCGTGCGAATTATGGCCGGATGTGCCACTCTCTTTCATGGACAAACTAGAGATGCACACAGTGTCTCCTAGAGGAGGATTGATCCGCCTCCGGTGTAACAACAGGATCACTATCGCCGCTGAAAAGAATTCAGTTGACAGGGATATAGACATATGCGTCCTGGTAAACCTTGAAAATATCTCAACAACAATCTTTACGCCAAAATGTCTAAATGATTCCTGGCATAACAATTTCCAAATGCATAAATTGAAATTTGCAATTACACTTTCATTTTAATTTACTTGGTTCAACAATGATGTATCATCCTGCATTATTTTTTCATTAATAATTGTTAAATAATAAGAAAATTTGATCGAAGTACTTCTTTATCACTAATTGAGTAAAATTTGATTTTTTAACTTACACGCAAAACTTTAAAATACCAAAAAAACTAAACTCCATCGTATTTGTCAAATTCGGAAATCCTATCTGAACAGAGTATGGGCACGTTTTATTGATGTTGTCATGATTTTATTGGGAAATGTTTTAATTCCTTTTGTGAATTTGTGATATAAAGCTAGATATATATAATTGATTCGTTGTTATTACCCCAGTTCTTGCTATGTGTGAATAATAGACAAAACTAAGGTTTTACCTACATTTACAATGGCGTGTCTGGTCGATAAAGCAGAAACATAGTCTGATTCTTCTTCTAATTTCCCAAAAGTATCCATGTAAACATTTCTTTTTTTATATTTTGTCCTATTTTTTCAAATTTTAGTTCGAATTACAGATTTGTTGAAGTGTCTGTATTCTTTGGTATTTAAACAAAAATTATACCGTCGTTGTGTTTGCAGGAACAGGAGTCAAGCCCCACCCCGATGGTAACCATAACAGCGACAAAGGACATTACCAGGCCTTTGATACTATCAATTCCGTTCAATATGCTAGAAAGAGGAGGTAAGAACTAACTGCAGACCGTTTTAATTGAGAGAATTGTAAATTTTGCGTGTATTCACCAGGAGTAGTAGAATAACAAAACTTGATGTCATAAATTGTAAGTAATCATCTAGATTCACAATTACAAAAATATTAAAATATAAATATGTTGAACGCAAATCTTTAATGTATTCATGTCATATATTGAAGCTCATATCTACAACTGCATAGAGTATAAAAGGATCATTTAAATTTTTAGAGCATTTCCCAAAACCATTGTGTAAAATTGAGAAAAGTATTTCTGAAGGTTTGATTTGATTATGTTATATATGCAAATCAAAAATATTGTTTGTTTACGGTTACCCTACCAGCTCTAATATTTTCTGCCTACCCTAAACTTTAATGGGCAGTTTTCAAGGACGCACTGATAAGTCAAGGTTACTGTCTCATATGAACCTTACAAAAATGAAAAATGAAATTTATAACCTTTGTACTACTATAATTGTTTCAGTCATACATCAGGAAAAAAACATGTTTTTCACCGAAAAGTAAATGGAGATCTTTTGAATATGTTTTTCTTTTACAACATAACAAGTTTCCTTTTTGTTTGTTTGTTTTAAGCCATATATTTTGATTTGTTACAGAGAATGCAAAGGGACTTATCATACTTGTAAAGGACGGTGACCTGAAATGGCAGAAGGCACAATGTGAAGCATATAAAGAACTGTGCTCCATTATCTTCGTGATTAACAGTTTAAACAGACGGTAATGACGTCACGATTGTAAACGATATACAGTTGAACCAAGTTATTGCACACAATCATAAATATTTCACTTATACAACATTTACCTCGAATAGTTTATTTGATATTGTGACCGGAAGGGGTTTCACCCTACCGTCCCCAAGATTATGATATTTAAGTGGGATGTCACTTGTAAACGGTTCTTGACCGACTCTATCAAATGACCAATCTAATTAAAATTATATCTTCACATCGCTCCCGTTTACTGATATGTCGCGTTGAAGATCTAACAACATCCCGTAGAGGGTCACGTCAGAGGTCAACATGAATACATTATCGCATTTATAACAAGCCAATCAAAACGCGACATAACTCTTTCATTCAACCAATCAGAAAGCAGGACCTGTAGCATTTAATGCAGACACCTCGTAGCCCAAAATCCATTTTTTCGTCTGGTCCAGTGATAGTTTGAATATTGCAAAGCCTGTCATAGGTTAATTTTAGTTGCAGGTTGTTAAACTTTTTAACGACAACACCACCAGAAGAGGAAGTCTCTCTTATTTCAAAGCAAAATCCACAAATTGTACAAACGTTGTCTTGTAGATCGACACGGCGTGGTGTCATGGGCGCCGCCATTTTCGATGCTCATTTGACACCTCTCGGTCTTTTATCATAGCAATTGTGTTCCGAAATCATTACATCATCACTTACAGAAATGCGTAAGCTCTCATCTTATTGGTTAATGCAAAGGTCGCCTGAACATGACCCTCTATGGGATGTTGTTAGATCTTCAACGCGACATATCAGTAAACGGGAGCGATGTGAAGATATAATTTTAATTAGATTGTCAAATGACTTAATTTTTTTGCAAAGACGTAATATTCAAAACACCTTATTTTTACGAAGAATTCATAACTGAGTCTCCTAAATGCGGTTACCTCTAATCCAGTTGTCGTGCTATCTAGCAGTGTATTGGTAGCAATGTTTTCCTTTTGCTTTTTTGCGTGTACCTCTGCGCAAATAGTTTGATTTGTTGACAAGAAAATGTTCTATTCATAGAATAATTTCATAGCTGTTGTTCTTTAATAAGATAGATATTCCCCAATTTCTGTCTATCTTTGTATTTTCGTCGTCCTTGAAATATGACAGGGTAACTATGAAAGATGCTTTATTATTTCAGGGTTGCGAAGAAAATTTTGATAAAGAAAAGTGCACTGAAACAGGTAAGACAGCTGTTTTGACGTCATATTTCTTAAATTTGGATTGCAGAACCATGACACAATATTTCTGACCTTCATGAATAATTTAACTATAAAACATGACATAAACCCGTCCAGCATTTCATAGAATTAAACTACATTTAATAGTTGCATTAATATCATTATTACGAGCATTCTATTTAAAGCAGTCACAGACACTGGGAAATCAGATCTTTTTTGTGGTTTTTCGAAAAAGCAGCATTCCATGGGTACATGAATTCGTTGATTACCAGTACCCACTGAAACGGTAAATCGTTTTATATCAAACTCGGCATGACGTTGTGGCCCTATAAATTCTTGGATGAAAATTACCCACGAAATCAACGAAATTTAAAAAAAATAAAACGCGAAAATTAGTGATTTCACAGTATATATAATATCTAACTGGAATACATGTTAACCATTTCGATGATTAGTTTATTTACTTTTTCATACCAATGTGTTTTTATTGACAGAACCTGACTGCTGCTACAATACCTAACCGTACGTACACTTTTATTTCTATTGTCCGAAAATATTAATGATTTTAATAAATAATTAAGTAAATAGAATAGTAAATTATCTTTATTTAACGTCGTATACATTGTCAAGAACTAACATAAACGCTATAGAGCTTTTATTACGACGCCGCTAAGGGAACAAATGTGATCAGTGATGAAACCGATACCCATTTTATTCTATTTCAAACTCTGGAAATATAATTGTATATCAGTTCGTCTGTTGGCTTAATATTTGTCAATCTGGGGTGTAATTTCTGATCTTAGTAATAAAGAAATAGAAATAGCATTAATACATGTATCAAAGGAAGGATTCCGCTGATTTTCGGTAATTTAAGCGTTATTGACATACATTCCATGTTGTTTTATATCAAAATGGATATATTAGAGTATGATTAGATGAAACTTATTATTCTGAAACTTTACATACAAGATCAAATATGAAGACTTCGGCTGTGACAAATAAGCCGTTTGGAAAAAGTTTTGGAAAGCCAAATGCCTATCTGCATATGATGACAGTCTTTATATTCAACGTTTACTTTATGATAATAAGAGCTATTGGAAAATTAGAATATTAAGAACAATAACGTTCTGTTTAAAACGGAACATTTGGAAATTTCAAGGAAAATCCAATTTCTGCAAGTTTTCTATATGTAATAATGTGGAAAGTATGTTATTTCAATTTCAAGCTGCCCTAAGGTCAATAAAATAATACCAGGTTCGGCAGAAAAGCAAATTGCCGAACAGCAAATCTAAGCTAATCAGATGACAAGATATTTTCAAATCAATTAATGAAACGTTTTATACACTTATCAAAATCAAATGTTGAAACTGCGTGGGATCGCATCCATAAATATACCCTGGAATATGTTGTTTGTTACTGATTTCCATTAAGTACTGTTATTATCTTTATATAAATGTTAGCATACCAGTATTAGTACCCTATAATCATACTGATAAAGTACTGAAAAAGGTACATTCACAGGACATCAGAGAATATATATATTTATGATAAAAAGGGATTAAGTGTCCATGTGAAGGAAGTAAATATAGAAAAAATAAGATTAACGACCGACTAAAAAACTAGCTGCTTTCACCCTTCACAGGGCTCTTCATGTTCCCTATATTCAACGGATAGGGTAACCTGAAGAGCCCTGTGAAGGGTGAAAGCAGCAAGTTTTTTAGTCGTTCGTGAATCTTCTTTTTTCTATATATATATTTATATCTTTACGCAGATTACCTGAGAACAGCTATCAGAGCAGTTTGTAACAGCAAGATCTCCCGAAGATGGCGTTTTCTAGGCAAGTCTCTTGGACTACCGGTAAACTACCATGACTGTATTGATGGCAAAGCTCCCCTCTGTTCGGAAGAAAAGTGCAGCTTCGTTTTGCTTGAGTGGTACGTCCAAAATCCTAACGCAACTGCAGAAGATTTGGACAAATGCTTAACGAAACTTGGATGTCAACCCGTCAACAAACTCGCAAACTACATATGACACAGCCTAAATTATTCCTCAAGTGAGTTGTTTTGTTAGAGCAGCAAGGTGTTTTAAAATGTGATATATACAACCAAGACAGGAACATTATGGTTTTCAATACCTGTTTTGATCAATATTATATGCGTGTTTCTTTGTCATCAGTGTCATGTTGATGCTTCTTCCGTCTCGCATGTGACATATCCTACATATCGTAGGCGCAAACATTTAGGTGATGTTGGACTTATCCAGGAATATAAATTCCACTGACGATACAGAAACTTTCATTCTGAAAAATTAAGGGAATATTGATATATTTCATCATTACTCTGTAAATTAGGGATATAAATATACATTGTACGTACTGGTAGTATTTTTCTATCGCCAATGCCGGTATGAAGGTAAAAGGATTAAATCAAAATTCAACATAAAAACTTGTTACCACATCGAAATATAATATTGCGAAAGAACATTTGACTCCCTAATATGATGGTTTTTGTACAAAAGCCTGTTTGAAATGAAATGATATCTATTTGATAAAAGAAGTACTAGCGTATCAGTGTGGACACTGTATATATTTCAACGTGCAGATACAATTTTGAGAATGACCAAAGAGGTATAGCGCAAATGGTACGCTGAGCACCTATCTCAGTCCACTGCTTTGATACGGTCTCAAATATCACCCATGGCCACGAAATGTTGATATACACTTCTACCATACGAACTCGTTTTTGGAAATTGCACTTGCTACATGATCAAAGAAATGCCGTCAAACCTTCTACATAGATACGAGGTCAAGGCTATGATGTTTCCGATGTCAAGGTCATGTCCCCCTCGCCAAAGTACTATCCAAAAATAACTTTTTCAGCAAAATCAGCGGCACATAATGTTTTTAAACTTTTTAATTGTGGTCATTTCTATTTTAATTTTTTTAGTTTGTTCATGGTTTTGCGGTCCGGCAACAAATAATGTCATATTAAGATGGTGACCACAGCGTGGTCAGGAGGGCCACTTAAAAATACCACCAAACTCAATTACAAGACTTCAAAGATTTAGTTTTCACTCAAGCACACATAAATGTGTATAGCAACGAGGTCATGTATATAAAACATAGTTTGAGTATATGACAGCCAAGCATCATACATCATATCATAGTACATGCATAATTACAGATATACATCCGGTTACACACAAGTATGTCAGTGCTCAACGTATATAGAACGATCCCAAGCAAACAGAAAAAAATATAGAATAGAGACATTATAATATTTTTGTTATACAGGACATCCACCATGGCAAAACAAATAGTTAAATAAAACAAGGACACCAAATCTGAATTGAATATGGCCGTTTATTACAATAAACGACGGTTGTTATGACGTTCACATTTTGTCATATAAATAGACCCAAAAAGTCTTAGATGGGGGTCCTATTCCGCCATACACAATATAATTGAAGCAATATTAATGCTAGTTGTAATACATATTTTTTTCACACAAAATACATGATATAACATCGATACATTACTTAACAATCGTATAAGAAAATGTTGTACACCAATATATAAAGTTATGCACATTCAGAAAATTCTAACAAGAAAGGAGGAAAGTAGGGGATGGTGGTGGGTAAAGCTTATCTTGTATATACTAAAATCTGTGATCAGATAAAACAATACAAAACTTTACAAGTTGAAATAAAATTGACCTTGACCGTACGATCCCTGTTCCGCCATCTTCTTTTATCAGCTTCTGAATAGGAGCTGCTGCGTCATTTGTATTTATAGTGATCTAATTTTAGCAACATATTAATGCGCGCATGTAACCTGTCGGACCGCTTCACTCATACCCCAACATACCTCCTTCCGCAAATAAAAATAGTTATGTAAAAGCATGGAAGTCTGAATGCATAAATTACATTAAAACAAGTTTTAATTTGTATTCAAGTTTTAGACATATAAGTTTACATTTTTTAACAACTTCCTATTAAGAATTGTGAATATTCCTTTCATTTTATATAGGTTTTCACTTCCCGGAGATATTATTCTGATATTGGGTCAACCAGATTTGTCTATGGAGACAACGTTAGAAAAAAAATGATGTGAAATTCTTTCACAACCAGAAACTGTATTACTGTATATAACTATCATATTATATCAGAGTGTAACTATTCTTAATTACTTTAACTTGCAACATTTTCGCTTCGCCAAACTGTGTTGTCTAGTCACTTAGATTTAATTTCCTCAATATTGATTCTCCCTACCATTGTTTTAGAGTTGAACAAATATTTCTTGAAGTTTTTACTCGCTGTACTCCATTTTATATAAATTGTTATGCTATGTAAATTTGTTTTCATTATATTTTCTAAGATTTATGAAATGTATAATATATCCACACGTGCATTACTGTAAGTATTTTTACACGTTATTTCTTCATTAAATACAATCAGAACATAACTTTGTTTTATGTTTTTTTTACATGCGGGCTAAACATTAAGCAGTTCCGAATATGTTTACAGAAATATACTTCGTTATAATATCTGACAGAGATATTGAAAACATGTGAATTTACCGTATTGTTTCCAATAGGACTGAGGGCTGTATCAATTACTTTCCTTTGTGAATACGAGTGCTCACATTCCGAAACGAACTTACCTAGATTTCAGTCAGTGCATACAACAGAATACATTACACAATATCTTTGTTCTCAAATGATAAGTCTTTTTGATTTATAGAATTGAAAGAAGAGAATAAAAGGAACTGAAAGGTCGGGACCAGAAGAGCTAAGGCAATTACCTAAAAGTGGTTATATATTCTATATTATTATGTTAAGTACAACACATGTATTGCATTTGTTGAAGGGAAATACGATTCTTTGTTTTCCCTGAGATTAATCGTGTTTCATGAGGTTGAAACCCGAGTAAAAATTGGTTAATGGAGGCGAAACAAAAATAGTGTTTTTCTACCGCAAGGGCAATAGATGTTTTATTATACCGAAACAGGAAAAAAATAACGCAATTATGAAGGTGATCTGGATTACCCTTCATTGTTGTCGTCTGCTTCAGTCACCCGGAACTCAGGGTTTGCCACTTGCTCATTTTCTAGAGGCTCCGAATAAGGGAGATATGACCAAATGATTGATTGATTGATGGGGCTTTACGTCCTTGTTCCGGTTATAACCGATATGACCAAAGAAACTCGAGCGCGTAAAAGGTTATGTTTATTACCTTGTCATGTGATCAATATCATCCAATCAGACGTGCTGTTATATAGATCAGGCATAATGATGGTTTATACTTTGTTTTATTCAAATTTTGTTTGAAAATACATCGAAGTACATGTTTTATAGAACAGAAAAGGAAACAAAATATATAGGTATAATTATATATTATATTGAATGGGCGTCATAGATGATAACGAAAATACGGGGATAATATGGCATAGAAATGACAAAACATTCTTAATAGAAAGCTATTTTAAGCACATGCCATCGGTTTCTATCACATGACATTTCACGTATCTAGATATTTAAATATCACTGAATAACACTGAATTGAGTTTTCACCATACGCCTTACAGCTAATACAAAAAGTTACATAATAACTTTATTACCAGTTATCGTTTTTCAGCAGTAACACATACCATAATATACACACTTTATTTATTATCAATTTAAAATAAATAAGTAATCCTCTTTTTCTTTTGAATTCATAGCATGAAGACGTTTTAAATTTACTTACCTCCCCTTTTGTGGCACAATATTTAAAAGCAATTTATATTTCCAATTATTTATAGCCCCACAGCATCACCGTCCTAGAAGGACGATCCAGCTGTATGGTGCAGTACCATTTATTTTTTGCATATTGTATCAACTACCAAATTTTGAAGGTACACTCATCTGTGTGTGTGGATTTCCCACTTTCTGACACCTATTAGCATCACCTGGCCCCATGATCATGATACGATCTTAAGTCTAAAACTATCTTAAGTTTTTGCCTTAGCCAATCACAAATAACGTCACGAAAAGCGACGTCATGCGTGATTGGCTAAGCAAAAACTTAAGTCTAAAATTGTTTCATGATCCCGGGGCCATATGGTGCTGTCAAACCATAATGGATAGCACCAGCGTAAGCATAAACGTATGAGTTACGTATGAAGCATACGTTCCATACGTTGAAAATTTGTGTCCATTCACAAAACATTTTTTTGTTGGGTGGGGGGTGGGGGGGCTTGACGCATGCGAGAGTGTGACACCAGCGTGTTTGAAAAAGTGGCATACGCTTTCATACGCTGGTACTATTCGTTATGTTGTGACAGCGCCATGAGTATAGAAGGACGGAACAGTTGTATGATTCCAATTATATCGGTGCATCCCTCCCACACTCACGATCTCATACAAGAACAATGCAGCAAAATAATTCCGAAATATTTCAATTATACTGAAAAATAGACTTTATTTGCTCGTTTATGAAAAATACAAAGTAATTATTGTTTTAAAATAAAACAACGGATAAAATATGAGAAATCATTGTTAAAAAACTTTACTTTTTAGACTGCTTACGCTTCATTTTTCCGCCGAACAAGAATTTCTTTGTGTTGTCATTTACAGCATCATATCTTAAACCACTCGAAAGCTTACATTCAACTTTCTCGACGTCACTTCCGGTACGAGAGGGCATTTTACTACCAGTAAGAGATAATTCTTTTTGATCAAAACCATTTGCTGAGGTCAGAACAATCACTGGAACAACTTGCGTTTCTGGTCTAATTAAAGCGTTGTGCTCGCGTGAAGATGTTTTCTGTAAAACGACATTTTCTTTGAGTACTTTGTCACTGTTCATGTCGCCATTTTCTTCGAATTCGTTGTCACTGCCTATGTGTGTTACATTAATGATATTCTCTGATGAATATTTGCTAACCGCTCCCGGTGTTGAGCTTTTATCACCTGGAAGCTCTGTTTTCTTTATGCTGTCTTTATCATGGACATAAGTTTTCTTTCTTGATCCAGCAAAACAGCATCCTAGTAACCATTGCCAATTCATAGCAACATTTTGATTTCATCAAGAGCGTCAGGTAACATCCGTGTTTCATGAGGTACTGGCCAGACATTCCATTGTTATGACTTGTTCATATGAGGACTAGCATAAAATCGACCTGAAAAATGAATAAATTTGTCAATAATTCACATATATAGATTCGATGCAACAGTCACTGGTGTGGTACGTGATAAGTCTAGATAAATAGAACACTTCCGAGTTTCGAGCATATTAAAGCACCCTTGTCCAACTGCTCAAAAACATAAGAGAGTTCCATTGCAGTTTTTTGAGCATTCATTAATCTCCCCTTAATTTCGTGTGAGCTATAACTGAAGCGCGAAAGAGCCACGTTTCCGTGTAGGTTACTACATTTGGTAAGAGCGATATAATAATGATCGAATGTCTAGAGTTAAAACCGAAGTCTTGTTCAATTTATTTTTACACTCATGACATTGTTATTTACCCAACCCCTTCCTTTTCATACCTTTTTTATGTTACATGGATTCTTCAAGAAATCTTCATCATTATTATACAGAAACGCACTTAGAAAATCATTAATTCCGTTTTATTCTAGTGATTAATTGATGAAGTAAGTATTTCGAAATTTCGAGTTGTTATCACGAAGTTTCGAGATAGCAAGTCGAAAACCGAGGTAGTAAGTCGAAATTCGAAATAGTTATACGAAAATAAAACACCATTTAAAAAAAAAATGTTATGTAGCCAGCGTGGTCCTAATTAATGTTCCGATCATTCTCTCTTTTTACTGTTACGCAAACGCGAGATTCTTTTGGTGGACATCAAAGGCTTGTCTCATCAACAAGGTGACGCATACTGAGTCTTCAATTTTGCTATGACATATTCCAGGAGTGCAGAGAGAGCGAATGTGAACGTAACCCATGGAGTATCGAGGATGGCAATTGATATGCATTTCTTGAAACGCATTAAAACAGGTATTTGACGGATAAAAGGATATCAGGAAGCAACTTCATTACGTTTTGATATACTTCAACATCTCATCCCGACGTACTGTTAAGTAACCACATAGTTTCTTTGTGTGGTATAGGACGGGTTTACTTTCCCGTTAACACCCTTTACTTTGCCTTGGCGTGTACGATCGATACACGCATACGTAACCCTTTTCCGCCTCTAACTGAACGAGCCGCATAAAGCAATTTAGAATGAAATGTGCTAGTAGTTCGACAAAATGCTTCTGAATAGAACGGGACCAAAGTAAGTCTGAAACTAAATGTTATCCATTTTGAATTGCGAAATCAGAATTATTTCATGAATAAATATCACGATGTTGTCCTTTCATAATTGCCGTTTGTTTCAACGCCCCCTACCCAGCCCCTCCCCACTTGGGTTTCACCGCCCCCACCCCTCTCCTTGGAATTATAAGGAAGAGCACTCAAAGGAACGTATGTTTTAACATACATTTGTAGACTGGGTCGATCGTCGGCAATCAGGTAGCTCAATTGATAGAGCGTCCGTCTACAGTTCGGGAGGTCGCGGGTTCGAATCCCGGTCTACTATTACATAGTTGGGGAGCTTGCCAGCCCTTGTTCTAAGCACTGAGTGAAAACTTGGCAGAGTGATTTCCGAACCCGAGTTGTAAAAATACTGATATCTTCGGGGGCAAAGACTTAGAAAAAGTAGGGAGGAATGTAGCGGAACTGGACTGGGTCGATCGTCGGCGACAAGGTAGCTCAATGGTTAGGGCGTCCGTCTAGAGTTCGGGTGGTCCCGGGTTCGAATCCTGGTCTCCTGTTACAAAGTTCTCTTTCTCCTGTTACACATTTAATAGGAAACACCGAATGCGGAGCGGCAGAATACTCCACGTCAATATAATTTTGCAATACTAAGTTCCAAGTTCTGCTTAATTAAATTACTTTCGAATGCAATACAAGCCAGTTGGGATCACCGAGTTGAATCTTTCACTCTTGTTATTTCTGTAGCAGGTTTTAATTCTACATAGGATTAAGTTCGCCTTCTAGCTTCGAGCTACAGGGAATTTACCTTTAGCTCAGTGGTAGATCGTCCGGCTGGGAACCTGGAGATCGAGGGTTCGATCCCTGGTGGAAGCACACTATTTTATTTCCTGTTACATTACGTTTGGACAATCGTGTGTATATTTCACATAGATGTGATAATGACGGGAAAATAACATCTTAGGCCTACCTGAACAGATTCGGCTTCCAAATTAGTGGTGTCGCATCTTCTAAGCCTGGATACGCCTACACACAGAGTTATGTTTGACGCCATGCAAATCATTTATTGATGACGTCATCTCCTTATAGGCATAGAAACCATACAAGTTGACCTTGACCTAAGGCTTTGACAATGATAATAATGGCCGTGACGCCATAGTATGGTGCACATTATGACGTCACTTTATTTATCGGGGTCCATTCTCTGGACGACAACAAACATACAAAAGTCACAAAGTAGTTGTAGAGGAAGATTTTAGAATGCTAAGATCGTATTTAAGATGGGTGATGGTTCGCGGCTCCAGAAGCTGTTGATGTCGGAGGAATATTTGGAGCTTGAGGATAATGTTCTCGTAGAAGGAGCTTTCATTGAACTCGACAAGCGTGGGGACGCAATCAAGTAAGTATGGGCGAGTAAACAGCCGACGCGCAATCAAGTAAGTCAGGGCGAGTAAACAGCCGACGCGCAATGAAGTAAGTCAGGGCGATTAAACAGCCGACGCGCAATCAAGTAAGTCTTGGCGAGTAAACAGCCGACGCGCAATCAAGGAAGTCAGGGCGAGTAAACAACCGACGCGCAATCAAGTAAGTCTGGGCGAGTAAACAGCCGACGCGCGATCAAGTAAGTCTGGGCGATAAGAAAGCGTATGCAAAATCAAGTGAATCAGGGCGACAAAAAGGCGGAAGCGCTGTCCAGGAAGTCTGGGCAACAATGACAGCGAAACCTTACGACAAAAAAAACTTACTTGAAGGACTTCTTGTAACATCCGAAACGATGGCGCGGGAAAGGCATACACGAGTCACTGTACAAGACCTAGTTTATCGACTAACAATAAATCTTTTTTTTTTCTTCTGTTTTACAGCTGTAAATTTTGTACATTGGAGCCTCTTTAATCCGGAATCTTCGATACACGATATGATATACAGAAACACAAAATTCAAGGTAAACGAGAAACGATAGTCAGTAAAGCGTCCGGACAGAGTTATTTGTTCGGTTTATCGAATACGGGGTAACCAAATTCTACAAAAGTACTCTTCTTAAATTTGGCATCGCCTTAGATTTATTTCACTGTTTCCGTTTCTAGGCAGGTTTTACTGGGACTAACCAGAGACAGCTTCATAGTTGCTAAGGACGTGATTATTGATTACCGGAAGTTCCCGTCAGTTAAGTATGACGCTGATGTCGATTTAGACATTAATGATTTGGAACTTGAATGGATCATCCCTGTATGCTACATAGAAATCAGTCGAGTTCCGCATGAACATGTGCTCAACATTCTATCTCGCAATGGCCGCCATCGATACTACATGCTGACCAATATCGGCGGGAATGAGAAAAAGCAGTGGCACGTTTGGATGGAGCGAGCCAAGTACATCCAAGACGATCCATATGGCTATGTCAAACAGCTCTACAACCAATGGAATGACACTTTCGACCTGCTCGATGTGGAGGATCCAAATAAGAAAACAAATAGCAGCAGCACCTCATTTCGACAGGGAAACAGTGGTAGTAAATTGTCGCCATCTACACACCACAGGAGACGCACGCGCGCTAAGAGCATCGTGCCAGAAAATTGGCTTGAAGTGCTGGGTGTAAAGACAAGTGCGAGGAATCTCCCGACAGCACAGTCCTCTGGCGATAAAATCGAGCCCAATAACACGAGTAAGGCAAAGATTACAGATACCAAATCAAAGAAGAAAAAGAAAAATCTCCGGTTTGAACTATTTGACGCTAAATCTAGTACATGTAGTTGTTTTGGCTAAATTGGCCTAACGTTGTATCTATTTGCTCACCCAACCAAAGAGATACAATTATGAAATAAAACATTATATATTCCAATGTCCTGTGTTATTTTGTACCTTATCTTGTTATTCAAGCCTTTATATCAGAATATAGGACAGACACAACTTACCAAGAAGTAACGTTGAAGCCATTCTCGAAATTCCAATAGGAGAAACGCTCACTTACGTTCTCGGCACCACTGGAACATGTCATGACGACACCGAAGGTTCTGTTCGCGCCACCTTGTGGATGATACAAGTAGACTAATCTGATCATGTGTTGTACATCGAAAGAATCGCGCAGCACCGTAACGGTAAAAATGACTGACTTTAAAGTCTGATATCTGTAATCATCATAAGCTATGTATAAGCAGGGTTTTTTTCACGTAAAACCAATCAAACAGCTTATCGCGTTTTGTCGATTTTGTCAGGATTTCAGAGAATGCAAGATAGATTAACTCCTGGAATTTCTAGGATGCTTTTAAGTTATACCCCTGAATATAACGTATCATATTAATCTACACGCTTATTACAAAGACATAATATCTATTAGGTTTGAAAATTATTCTTTTTATATTGAAAGAAATAATAAATTTGTGTGATGTACAATTTTCTTGACTTGTATCATTTAAGACAGGGCATATTTTAAATAAAAAAAATACTTGTCGATAGAATCTCGTCGCAAACTATCCCGAAAAAACATTGAGATCACAAACTTCAAATGTGGCTACACATTATTCTATTACCTTGTCCCTACGTTACAAAACACATCGCACTCCGTCCCGGTCCATTATTAGTGATTCGCAACTAAATCCTAGATCTCTATGACTACATCCGCGTCTATTACCTGATCTCTATGACTACATCCGCTTCTATTACCTGATCTCTATGACTACATCCTTTTCTATTACCTGATCTCTATGACTACATCCGAGTCTATTACCTGATCTCTATGACTACATCCTGGTCTATTACCTGATCTCTATGACTACATCCTCGTCCATTACCTAATCTCTATGACTACATCCTCGTCTATTACCTAATCTCTATGACTACATCCTCGTCTATTACCTGATCTCTATCACTACCTCCTCGTCTATTACCTGACCTCTATGACTACATCCTCGTCTATTACCTGATCTCTATCACTACCTCCTCGTCTATTACCTGACCTCTATGACTACATCCTCGTCTATTACCTGATCTCTATGACTACATCCTGGTCTATTACCTGATCTCTATGACTACATCCTTGTCTATTACCTTATCTCTATGACTACATCCTTGTATATTACCTGATCTCTATGACTACATCCTTGTCTATTTCCTGATCTCTATGACTACATCCTCGTCTATTCCCTAATCTCTATGACTACATCCTCGTCTATTACCTGATCTCTATCACTACATCCTCGTCTATTACCTGACCTCTATGACTACATCCTCGTCTATTACCTGATCTCTATCACTACATCCTCCTCTATTACCTGACCTCTATGACTACATCCTCGTCTATTACCTGATCTCTATCACTACATCCTCCTCTATTACCTGACCTCTATGACTACATCCTCGTCTATTACCTGATCTCTATGACTACATCCTTGTCTATTCCCTGATCTCTATGACTACATCCGCGTCTATTCCCTGATCTCTATGACTACATCCGCGTCTATTCCCTGATCTCTATGACTACATCCGCGTCTATTACCTGATCTCTATCACTACATCCTCGTCTATTACCTGATCTCTATGACTACATCCGAGTCTATTACCTGATCTCTATGACTACATCCTGGTCTATTACCTGATCTCTATGACTACATCCTCGTCCATTACCTAATCTCTATGACTACATCCTCGTCTATTACCTAATCTCTATGACTACATCCTCGTCTATTACCTAATCTCTATGACTACATCCTTGTCTATTACCTTATCTCTATGACTACATCCTTGTCTATTACCTGATATCTATGACTACATCCTTGTCTATTACCTTATCTCTATGACTACATCCTTGTCTATTACCTTATCTCTATGACTACATCCTTGTATATTACCTGATCTCTATGACTACATCCTTGTCTATTACCTTATCTCTATGACTACATCCTTGTCTATTACCTTATCTCTATGACTACATCCTTGTATATTACCTGATCTCTATGACTACATCCTTGTCTATTTCCTGATCTCTATGACTACATCCTCGTCTATTCCCTAATCTCTATGACTACATCCTCGTCTATTACCTGATCTCTATCACTACCTCCTCGTCTATTACCTGACCTCTATGACTACATCCTCGTCTATTACCTGATCTCTATCACTACATCCTCCTCTATTACCTGACCTCTATGACTACATCCTCGTCTATTACCTGATCTCTATGACTACATCCGAGTCTATTACCTGATCTCTATGACTACATCCTCGTCTATTACCTGATCTCTATGACTACATCCGCGTCTATTACCTGATATCTATGACTACATCCGCATCTATTACCTGATCTCTATGACTACATCCTTGTCTATTACCTGATCTCTATTACTACATCCTTGTCTATTACCTGATCTCTACGACTACATCCTTGTCTATTACCTGATCTCTACGACTACATCCTTGTCTATTACCTGATCTCTATGTCTACATCCTTGTCTATTACCTGATCTCTATGACTACATCCTTGTCTATTACCTGATCTCTATGACTACATCCGTGTCTATTACATGATCTCTATGACTACATCCGTGTCTAGTACTCGATTCTGAAACTAGGATTTGAAAGTGGATCAAGGTCATTCATCTTAACAAACTTTGTAGCACTTCATTTCTACATGCTTCAGGCCTAATATCATCAATCAATGAAACAATGTTTAGCTCACCAGGGCCAAGTGAGCTTATTAGGTGGAGTCTGGCTTCAATTTTTTATCTTTAATCGACTTCTTCTCAATAACCAATAAGCATAATGGGACAGAGGGTTATAAAATCGCTTAAATGAATGACCTTGACCAACTTTCAAGGTTACTGGGGTCACATATGTTGAAATATTTAAACAACTTCTTCTGAATAACCAAAAGACCCAGTGTGGTAATTTTTGGTGAGTAGAGTGCTTCAATGAAGAACTACCAGGTTTGTTCAAATGAATGACATTGACATACTTTCAAGGTCACTGGGGTCAAATTATGAATAAACCTTCAACCAAATTCAACTGCATAACCAAAAGGCCCAGGGTGGTGATATTTTGTCAGTAGCATGCTGGGATGAAGGACAACAAATTTTGAATGACCTTGACCCAACTTCAAAGTCACTGGGGTTAAACATGTTAAAATCTTGAAACAAGTTCTACCAGTCGAGCATATTGCTGAAACCCTCCCCCATGTAATATCGTCCTACATAATAATAAAAAAAGATTTTAAAGCGTTCTTTTTAATTCACAAAGATAATTTAAATACAATGATTCGTTTTTCTTTAACATTTGTAACTCCAGAACAAGTTCAACAATTAAATACCATGACTGTATGAGTAACAGTTGTATACATATGTAACAGCCTTGCCGAGCTTGGCGAGGAAAAAACCTGGAAATTATACGAAAACATGATGCTAAAATTAAAAACACAATTCTAGTAAAACATAACACATGTATCTTCAATAGAACAATGGTAAAACATGATGCTAATTTGAAAACAACAAACATTTTTGACAGCTTAAGAGACTACATATGGTAAAAGCAAACAAAAACATTTAATTTTTTCAGCAAACATAACATTCAACACTAATATATATACACTTCCTATTTTTTGCAAAAAAATAAAAAAATAAATAAAAAATTGACATCTTTTTCCTGTGAATAAAATGTAAGATTTTATTTTCATTTTGATCAGTCTTACACACTAGGAATAGCAAAATATACACTGACCACATAATGTCATCAGTGTACTACTGCCAATGGGAAAAAGGTCTTTTGATAACATTGACATGTATTCAGTTAATACAGGATCTCTCAACTATCTAATCTTTATATCTTAGTGTCAGAAAATACATGCCCTGATCTGGCCATACTCATTGGAGGTTGAACACTTTGAAGGTGAAATATTATTTATTACTTATGACATTCAAATATGAATTGATTTCTGATCAAACCATTTAGTTTCCTTAACTGGTTTTCAAAAGCAATCGTACAAATATAATAATCACAATAAAAAAAATAAAAAATATATGAAAATTGAGAAAATTGTACATCCGAGATAATTTTTAGACAATATTTATATCAGATGTTTGTGAATATTACAGAAAACTTACACCTTGCTTATTATCATGTTTGTATGTATTATACAGATACCAAAATCACCTTGACCTTATTAGAGGTTGTTTCATAATAATCACTGGGCAGTCATTTGAGAGAGAAAAAAAACAACTTCTATATGTCACAAAAGATTTTAGTATTTTCTAAATCAAAAATAATATTAAAGGCAAATGAAGTCAACATAAATATCACTTACTGCAACATTTGACAACAAGAAACAGTTAATTAATAAATAACATTATGGTTTTTATTTACAAAACTTAACATACATAGAGAAGTTTATACAGATCTACACCTAGTAGATGACAAATAACAAGGCTAAGTTGATGATAACAGAGAGAGAATTGAGAAACAGGTGGACAAGAGCAGTAACGGTCAGTAATACTGGTCATTACCAGGACAGAAGTGGACGCAGGATGCGATATTCAACTCAGAACAAATCAAGTGCCCTGCACTTTCCAGAGTGAATGATGTTTTGCAAAACTAAGAAACTTAACTAACATAACAATCATAATATTTTATTTGATATATTAATGCCCATATCAAGTTTTATCTACAAAGATCTGGAGTATTTTTTAATCTGCAAATAATTTTTTTCTTTCTAAAAACTAAAAGCCTATATATCCCTTTTTCTCTTCAAAACCAAACTATTGAATATTTAGTTTAACGAGTATTTTATCCAATATTGAAGCATGCTTATACCATACATGTAATTTCAGGAAGATTGAAAAAACTTTTGCTGAGAGCTGATATTAATTTATTATTAAAATGTTTATTACATGTCAAAGTGTAACGGTTTTTAAATAGTTATATTTTCTTCTTTCAAAAGAATACAAGGAAACATAATTTTTCTTGTCAACTGTGATATGCCAGATTTCAGTTTTCTCATATTACATGACTAGAAAAAGCCTTAAGGGAACATTACTTTCTCTAGAAATCATTAATTTTCCTACATACACTTTTTTTCAATTTGCATGCATGAAATGTCAAATTTTTATACATCTTGATAAACAGTGTTCATTTTCTTTCTTTGAAAGCGCTTAATATATCAAATACAACAGATCTCTTTTATATCCTTGATTTCAGTGAAACACTTCAAAATTATATCAGTTTACCATGATTTTACTTTTGGAATCCCAAAATAAAATATTGGGGACATGTAATTCTTGAGCCAAACTTGAAATAAATTTTCAAAACAGATTTCGAAGCTGATTAGAAGGACCAATATTTTGTAACAGTAACGAACAGTAAGTTTTAATCATCCCGCTAATTAAATTAAAAACATTTACAAACCCAGCTGTTGATAACGTAAGAAAAAGAAACAAATAATTTAATAACTTAACAAGAAACAACAGAACAGGCCAGCTGATTTTGTGTACAATTACCTGCATGCACACAAAACATGAACAACTGTTGTATATACTGATGTTACTGTTGGGTACAATGGTTATGGATCCCTGTCCCCACTGCAGGCAAAACACTAGAGAGTTCCAATGTGGTTTTGATACAAAGAGTAACCTCCCCTTAATTTTGTTTCAGCTATATACATGGATATAGTGTTTTTTTGTAAAATTCTGTAGACAGGTTTGGCTGGCATCGTTGTTACATTTTAATATATTTTTTTCAAAAATATAGCTTTCTTTCAGAATTTATGACTTATAAAAACTACTGTTTACTTGGAAATTTTTGCTGCAGTTTAATTTCCGAATTATATACCCTCTGTGACGAGGGCGAATTTATCATTACAGCAAATATAAGTATACAGCATCATAGTAATTAAATGTAAAGAGTGAAATTAACACTGGGTGAAAAACTGATTTTATGGGCAAAGGGTGAATGTGATGACTGGATGAAAAGTTCTCAGTAAACTGATACTGTCATACTGATTAATTAACCCTTTCACCACTGTAGACCATAATGGACTCATCCAGATCAATGAATGACAGAGTCTACTAAAGTTACATAGGGTTGAAAGGGTTTTAAAGTTTGAAAATTAAGTTTAATAGAGCTCGTTTTGGCAGTGGTAAACAGGGATCCTCAAGGGAAAACACCTCCCAATGCACTTATACTGAATGTCACCTCAATCATGATTACAATGCTGTTAATGATTTGAACTTTGCAAGACATGAAAACGGAAACCCAAAACTGATTAATATCTATTTGAAGTCAAATCTATGTGACAAGATGTTTTCATGATATTCTTTCACAATACATGTTATTTAGCCATTAAAATGTAAAATCATATTTCACATTTTTTAATTTTCATTATTAGTGGTCATATTTTTTAAAACTCAAATATTTTTCAACCATATCACTTTCTTTTTTTAAGTGATTTGTAGAACAAAAATACTTTTTTTTTTTGCTGAACTGTTTTTTTAGACAAATTTTTACAAATTACCGTTATTGGTTGAGGCTATGTGAATCTGTAGATTTCCATGAAAAATTTACAGGGTCAAAGCATTGATTTTTTTTATCTTTTCATTTTCAAACAAATATTGTATCTTTCAAACAGACTTAGACTATTTGTCATCAAATAGCTTTGAAGAGGCAAAATTAAGTACATTTGCACAAAAGCTTGAAAACTTATGGTGTAAATTTCAAAAATTAAATATCTTTGAAATAGTTAATTTATCTTAAAATCCCATTTATATTGATGGACCTGTGAAATTGTTATTGATAACTGCAATTGTGACAACTCAAGTAGAATGTAACATAAAATAAATATACATAATTGGCTATAAGCTATTAATGATATACCTTAATAAACAACAAAGAAGTATAATTAACTACATGTTTACTATCAGTATATAACAACAACAAAATATCAATTAACAAAAAACTAAATCTATATTGTGTCCTGTAAAAAGACGCAACGTCTGAGCTCAAATTCGAATAAATTATTGGAAAAAAAAAATTAACAACAGTACATGACTAAAACACGAGTGATTAACATATTCTGACATATCAGGATTGTTAAGTACAGTTTAATATCATTTTTTAACTTATCATCGTGTTGAAGCTATCCCCAATTTAAATTGAAGCAAAAAGCATTGCAGGGGACTCCAAAATATTTTGAAGATATAATGACTTATATTCCTGTCTGATACAAAAAACAGATGATTAACCCTGAGGGCATGTGGGGAAAAAAATGGGTCAAAAGTTGTGTGGGTGGGCTTATTACCAGGCATGGGCTTATCACTGGTAAAATGTGGTAAATATCAACATAAAGCTTGGAACCCGACTTCCATAAAGGTCGAGTTTGATCATCAGCCATTTACCATAGTCGGGCTCTTACACCTAATGTGCTTACACATGTTGGTACACAATAACCTATCACTGCCTTGATTTCAAATAATTATGCATGCGCAGACGACCATTAGTTGCTCTGGTCTGACCAAAGGAAACCGGTAGGTTGTACCATAGTGGCCAGACATGCCCACCATGACTTTGTGTTTCTTTATGCGCAATACACATTACTAAAGTGAGTTTGATCGAACTTGGGTTAGACCACAGTCACTATAGTTGATGATCGAACTCACCCAAAGGCTAATGCCAACAGTGCAGAAATATATATAGATAATGATCATACTGATGATATTGAGTCTAGACACAGGTAGATATCTCAGACATGTAAGACATAAAAGATCATATTGTGTTTCAGAATAATGAGTTCTATTAATTTTCAAACAACAATTTTGAAGAAAAAAAATAGGATTTTTTTTACGAATTTACACACCTAATATTTGTTTAATATGTATACAAAGTTTCAAGAAAAAACATTTTTCAGGCAAAGAAAATGTGTTTTAAACAAGAAAATGTTAACAAATGGATGGATGGCCCACCATACCATAATACCCTATATACATCCTGTCAAAAAGAGGAAACACTGACCATCTCTTAAGGTAGGACTGAGTCTACTAAGTTGGAATATTCAAGTCCTTGACCTGTATGATGTGATTCAGGACAAGGTCAATATCTGGGACTGTCTGGCTATCCTGGTCAGTGGACTTGGCTAGCGTGGACAATGCTGTGTGACCAAACTGACCAGACATCTGACCAATACAGCCACTCTGGTCCAGAAACTGGTTGACAGAAATCATGTAGGCAGCCTGAAAATATAGAAAAATATATTTTGAAACTTTGAAGTGTTGTCAGGGACTCAATTTTTTAACCAAATAGATACTGTAAACAAGGACAAGGTGAGAGAATCTTTTAACCTTAGGTACTGTATTTACGCAGACAAGGTGACTTGATCTTTGAACCTTAGATATTGTAATATAACAGAAGGGAGACAGAATCTATGAACCTTAAGTCATTTACAAAAGGGCAGAGAGACTCAATCTTTGAACCTTGGACATCAGATATTGTATATAACGGCAGAGTCTTTCATTCCGACAGATTCTTTGAACTTTAAGATAGTGTATATACGGAAGGGGAGATTCAATCTTCGTATCTGAGATACTATAACAGCAGGGAGACAGAATCCTTGAACCTTAGATATTGTTTATAAGGGCAGGGATATAGCATCACAGAATCTTAGAACATTAGACATTGTACCTGTATATAAAACGGCAGGGAGACAGAATCCTTCAACCTTAGATATTGTGAAGGGCAGGGATACAGCATCACAGAATCTTAGAACATTAGACATTGTACCTGTATATAAAACGGCAGGGAGACAGAATCCTTGAACCTTTGATGTTGTTAAGGGCAGGGATACAGTATAACAGAATCTTAGAACATTAGACATTGTACCTGTATATAAAACGGCAGGGAGACAGAATCCTTGAACCTTAGATATTGTGTAAAGATGCATATTTATATATATATCAATTTATTTATAACATCTACCCATCTGGAGGAACACACCTCGCCCACTTAGGGTATCTATAATATTACAGCTTCTTACCTGGGAGATGGACCCAGTGTTAAAAGTAGCGGAATCAAACATGTCTTGGTACGTGTGTTGTCCAGATGAGTTTGAAGCTACACTGACTGGTCCCATCTTCAGGTATGATGCCATGTCCTGAGCTGTACTTGTGGATTTCTCTTCTCTGTCAGGGACAGTCTGGAGAGAAAGAAAAGGGTGGAAAATGCCTTGTTCGGACAGATCACCATTGTACTCTGGAACAAGCTGTGAGTGACCACAATCCTGGGCTGATGACTGGAAACAATCTGAAAATAAAAGAAAAAATTATTTGAATCTAAAATTTAAAATTTGAATTTAAAAAAGAGATGTTCTTCACTAGGCAATCATAAACAAGAGGCCCAGAGGGCCTGTATCGCTCACCTGGATAATAGAGCAACCATGGGAAATTATTCTTATTACATAAAATCCCTCCAATGGTACAGAAAAGACAGATTTTAAAGATTTAAACCTCTAATTTCCCTATTGGGCCCAGCAACTTTGCCCACAGGGGGTCCAACCCACCATTCACACAAAACTGAGTCCCCTTGGCCCAAGAATGCTCCAGACAAAATTGGGATGAAATCCCTAAATCCCTATAGTAGAAGGATTTTAAAGGTTTCTATCTCTATTTCCCCTATTGGGCCCCACCTCTCTGCCCCCAGGGGGTCCACACCCACCATTTATACAAAATTGGTTTCCCCTCATTCAATGATGCTTCAGACCAAGTATGGAAGATATATGTTCATTCCTACAGAAGAAGGATTTTAAAGAACTTGCTATATTTCTCCTATTTGGCCCCGCCCCTCAGGCCCTTAGGGGAGCAGACCCACCATTATACGAAATTGTTCCTTCACATAAGGATGCTTCAGACCAAATATGGAACAAATCCTTTCATTCCTACTAAGAAGAATGAATTGAAAGAATTTGCTATATTTCCCCTATTGAGCCTCAGGCCCCTGGAGGGCCAGACCCATGGTTTATACAAAATTGGTTCCCCTACACCCAAGGATGCTTCAGACCAAATATGGAGCAAATCCTTTTACTCCTGCAGAAGAAGAAGGATTTTAAAGAAGTTTCAATATTTCCCCTATTGGACCCCACCCCTTAGGCCCCTGGGGGACCAGACCAATGGTTGATTAAAATTGGTTCCCCTTCACGCAAGGATGCTTCAGACCAAATATGGAACAACAGGATTTTAAAGAATTTGCTATATTTCCCCTATTGGGCCCGCCCCTCAGCCACCAGGGGGGCCAGACCCACCATTTATACAATATGTGTTTCCCTTCCCCCAAGGATACTTCTGACTAAATTTGGTCAAAATCTGCTCAGTCGGTCATGACTAGTAGCGAATTTTAGGGAAAGTTGACGGACCAGGTGAGCTAAAAACCTTTCTAATTGGTTGTGACATGACAGGAGTTTGTTCTATAATTAATTTGACTGCATGTGTTACATTCCAGATCATACACATGGTTTATGAATCATGAAGAATGGGTTGTGACCTTGATATGACCTTGATATGACCTTGACATTTTACCTATAATTGGAATAAATGATTCTGACACTACCTTCACCTTCAGAATCTGACCTGGACCTGACCTTGAGGATCTACAAATGTATTAATATTGGAATGAAAGCTTTGTGACCTTGAGTTTTTTTTACCTATGATTGGTTCAAGTTCAAGGTCCAACAGGTCATCTGAGAGGTCACTGAGTGCAGATGTACTGGATTGTGTGTCAAGGGCAGCCATAGCAACAAAGGTTTCACGTGAAGCTGGCGACATATTTTTCCACATCTGAGCCACGCGACTCGCTGTCTCCGGTGTTTCTGGACACTCGGCAGCCATTTGTTGGTAAAACTGGAAGTACCTGTCAACACAACAACATTTGCTGACGTTCATTTATATTCAACCATCTCAAATTTTGATAAAATTGGTATTTTGATTAAAAATCTTCTGATTCATAAACATTACTCACAATGTTAATTTGTTAGCTTTGACAATTATTCTACCAACAAAATTTCAGATTTATTCCATACAATTCCAATATTAAATGAATTTTTCTCCCAAAACAAGGAAACTTACAATAAGGGTTAAAACATATACAAGACCTATGAATAACCTTCCTTTAAAATACAAATTATTCACTTTTGGTTTAAAATAATTCAGATTTTTTAAAGATTGATATGAAAAGAGACTACAAACAATTTGTTTTTTTCAATAATGCAATGGCAGTGTAAATCAACAGAAGTTTAAATGTCATGTTTATAATTAAGATTACTGAAGACAGATAAAGGTATTTTACAACATTTATGAAACAAGTTATTTCAACTTATATAAATCACTCTTGTTGGCCCGGATGGAAGCACGCATAGGGTCTTAATGTGGGAGGAAACCGGAGTACCCAGGGAAAACCCACGTGGTCGGGCAGGTGACCCTTTACATCTTCACGTCCGAACGGGGAATCGAACCCCGGTCTCCTTGGTGAAAGGCGAGTGCGCTATCCACTGCACCACCCGACCACCCAAAAGAAGGGAACTATAACTGAAGTGTGTGTAATTCTTCTATCAAATGGGGAAAGAGACAGTCATCCTCGATACTCCAGGGGTACCGCTCACCTATGCTATCTGCACCCCTGGAATATGTCATTTAGATGATGCCATTATATCCCTCACTGAAGGCAGGCAAACTCGAAAATTAATTTGGGCCTCGTTATCAATATCATATACTCACCCGTCAAAGTCCTGACAACAGTTGATGTCTGTGCTTTCAAACACTCCAGTGATGAATGGAGTCTCTGTCACCAACTTCTTTTCTGGTGTGGGAAAGCTCCTTTAGTTGAAACAAACAAAATTAAAAAGCTGAAAATGTCATCAGATTTAATCTAATATTCTCTTGGTCCAGTGTCAGAGGCTGCATAAAGAATTTTAACAAAATCTTTTCCCCAGATGGACCATAGGGTTAAAAAAGTGGTCGACCTTTATAGAAATAAAAACAATGTGAATGCAACAAAGAGGCTGGCTTTATAGAAACATAAAGATTGCAACAAACTATTTTTTTTTTACCTGTTGTTGCGCTGCAGCTAGCTGCAAACTTATTGAAAAATTTCTGTCATCATTTTTTTTTTTGCAATTACTTTGCATCAAAAGCTGAACACTAATGCAAGACTTTCACACAAACTACAGCAAACAGGGCTGCGGTACTTCAATGCCTGTCTTTGTGATTACCACTTTGAAGATGGAATATAACATAATAAAGCTTGGTATGCAATACAAACTACAGATTACATCCGGCATTGAACTTTTTGTGCTAATGAATTTTTTAGAGCTCATTTCTTAACTTACTTCTCCAGCTGTCTGCGACATCTGCGAGCCTGACGAGGCTCCCCTTCACTTGGGTGATGAGTATGCGAAGATCTGGATCTAAAATGAAATGGATAAACTGTGAGCGAGCTCAAAAAGATATATTTCACACTTGCTGAAATTCAAAATTTCAAGGGCCATAGCTCCAGAAAATTCCTATATACCCCCTAAAATTTGTTTGCACTTAAATATTAATTTAGTTCAGGGTGTTGATTAATCTGAAAGGCCAGTGTATAGTATATGTAACTTCTTTTTTCCATTTGATAATATATGAAGCAAGCTTTTAAAAAAAACTTGAATGTTTTCTGTACTTCAGGCATGCAACTGTAATAATTTTAATATGGTTTCCATTTTTTTTATATATACTTTTTGCTTTGATCTCTCCCTGTAGTGTTTTGTATCCTTTGCTATACCCATCATCAAAATTACTATAAACAGAGTGGGATAATGCAGCGAGTGTTTAGTAGGAAAGCTGCAGAAGTCAACAGACAAATTTTGAAAATAAACCATTTATTGAGTAATACTGTGCTACATGTGTATATATTTTACCTCAAACTTGATATTAAAATGCACTTTAAGTCTGAACGTGCATATTGCTTCCATGACCTCTGCCGTTATCAATTCATGATTATGCTTATACAACTTGTTTTTAAAATACACATGGAAATTACCTGTGTACCAGAGACAGGTTTTTAACGTGTTTACAAGTGACCTCATATGCTGGCGTTTACCTGTGAGTCTGTCCTCGAGGCTTGTTTGTCCCTCTACCTTGCACATTCTCTTTACACTTTCTTCCTTTTTCTTTAGCATGATGAGGTGTACTACACAGAAAAAGACGTTATATTTGAAAATTCAAAATCTGAACATACAGATTTCCTTTAACAAATCATCAAGTTTTACATTCGTTTTCATGTACATGTTATCATAATATGTACTAAGTATACTATCAAATTGACAAAAATCAGTGAGCTAACTTAGACAAGAGTAAGGTGAACGAAGATTTCAAACAAAGGGGCATAACTCCATAAATTTGGAAGTTAGCTCGGATTTATATACATGCATGCATGTACATTATTCATATCTCCTTGATGTAACGATTTTGTGTACCATATATCATATGATTCGGTGCAGTACTTAGGGAGGAGTAGAGTGCAAAATATATCTATTAAACAAAGGGGCATAACTCCATATAAAGGAGAGAGAACTCAAATTTCTGTACTTACTTCACATCCCCTGGATGTAAGTGTGATGTGTACCAAGTATAATAATAATAATAATAACATACAACATAAGCCACTCTAAAGGGCTTTACAGTACATAGATATTCAATAAATACAATTAGCATATACATTAATTAATTCAATTTTTGAGGAATTTGCAGGAGCTGCATTATCAGGCGCTAACTACTAGTCCTATGCCACCTGGCTAATATCTCCCTATGTGTGTATGCCTGCATGTGTGCTGGAGATGTATTGTGTTCTGTTTGTAGTGGAACCGTGCTTCCAATGGCATCTTTTAAAGTGCCACCTCACTTGAATGCTACAGCACAGATACCGCAACATCCACCCCAGACCATTTTATACTCCACCTGGGTTGTTGGAGTTGTGTGGGCAGGAGAAAAAAACTTTCTCTGATATTCCATGCATACGACGACTTCGAGGATCGAACCCCGGCTGTCTGCGTGGAAGGACAAAGTGTTAACCACTAGACCAATCCGCCCATCATTTAAATTGATGCAGTACTTTCTTCAGAGTAGTGCAAACTATGCTTTTTATACAAAGGGGAATAGCTTCATAAGGAGGTAACTCCAATTATGTACTTCATTCATTCACATCCTCTCAACATTTTAAAGTTACTTAACTAACATCAGCCCAATGTAAGGGTTTTGTAAACAAAGTTTTGTGTAGACAACTTGAACTTGTAAATGGTGTTTCATGTACTCAAAAATGTTTCAAACCTACTTTTGATTAGTTCAAACCTACTTTTGATTGGTTCAAACCTACTTTTCATTGGGCTGGTGTCCATCATCTAAGTCCATGAGATCCATAGACTCTGTACACAACAGTTTTGCGGTGTCCAGAGGGCTAAATAACAGGTCCGGCGCCATACAAATCTCATCTCTTGGTGGGCTATCCTAAGAGAGGAAAATTGTGACTTATTTGTATAAGAGAGGAAAATTGTGACTTATTTGTATAGAGTTTAAGCCTTAAATATTATTTTAATATTTCCTTTGTATTTTCCAATAGTTACTCTAGACAAGATAGAGGTCGGAAGTAACTGATGAAATAGAGGTCAGAAGTGACTGGTGAAACAGAGGTCAGAGGTCAGTAGTAACTGATGAAACAGAGGTCAAAAGTGACTGATAAGGTAGAGGTCGGAAGTGACTGTTGAAACATAGGTCAGAGGTCAATAGTAACTGATGAAATAGAGGTCAGAAGTGACGGTTGAAACAGAGGTCAAAGGTCAGTAGTAACTGAAGAAACAGAAGTCAAAAGTGACTGTTGAAACAGAGGTCAAAAGTGTCTGATCAGAAAGAGGTTGCAAGTCACTACATGATGAGACAGACTGGAAAGTGGCTATGTGACGATTGAGGTCAAGCAACCAATAATACAGATTGAAATGTATGGAGTATTTGTACAGCATTCGGAAGTGATAAATGATACAGAGGTCCGATGTACCTGATGATATGGGTCAGACGTGAATTTCAGAGGCTGGACATGACTGTCGATGATATGCGTAATTATACAGCTCTTAGAAGTGATCAATGAGAGAGAGTTTGGGAGTGACTGATAAATGACAGAGGTTGGACGTGACTGTTGATGATATATAGCACATAGAAGCGATATAACGATACAGAGATTGGGATTGACAGCGACACCTACTTGTGGATGGTTGTCCGAGCTGAGAGCTGTGAAGGGAGATTTCTGTGGTGGGTTGGATCTAGGCGTCCCTGGTGTTACTGGTACTACATCAGGCAGTTTGACAGGTGTAAATCCACTGTGCGTCTCAAAAAGTCGCTGTAAAATGGAACTTACTGGTAAATGTTCATTGATCCATGTCCATATTGGATATATTTATGCATTTTGACATGTGGAAAGTATCTGAAGGTTTTTATGGTAAAAGTAAAGTTTCTACTGTGAATGATATCACCTTTTTCATTACTTTTCGTAGACTGACCTGACCAATCAGATTATCTGATAAGAGTAGCATTTACTTGTGAAAATACAAAAAAGCTGTATTTTGACCTCAAATATATAGGCATAATAAACCCCGAAAATGAAGTGTATTCAGATTCTTTTATTTTGCCTTACTTGTTTTGTTGACCTAGCAGGTGTCCTTGACCTGGAGGTCGAGTCCCGTCCTCGTTTCCTGTTCTGTACTGGTGTTCTCTCCCGGCTATGGAAGCTAGCATGCTCTACGGTCTCATGGTGACCCTGGTGGTAGAAATTCTCTGAAGTAAAGCTGCTGTAGTTCTCAAAAATGTTGGAATGTTCAGGGGACACAACTCTGTCACGTCGATATTGATAATTTTGCCTCCTACTTGGTCTACCTCTTCGCGCTTTTACTGGTGTCCTTGGAGGCAACGTCTCACGTTCCTGAGTGTCAAGCAAATCTGTCTGGCCATTAAGAGTTTCCTGTCTGGTTCGATCAGTGTATGTGGGTACTACTCTGGAATCTGGTGACAGAATTCGGTGTTTCAAATATGTCCCATCTTCTTCACTGGTTTCTTTATTCTGGGTCTATTACAAATTATAAACAAGTAATAAATAATTTTAAAGGTTTCATAATAGGCTATGATTAAATCAAACAAGAAATGTACTGTAACTTGCCAAATAATCTAGCTTGCACGAAAAAGGTGGCTAAGCATACCTCCCATGAAAATAGTTAAAATAAAAAATAAATTGTCAATGCAAATAACCAAGTAATGATCATGCGTACCAAGTTTTGTTAGTACTACTGGTTTTCCCCAAAGGTGTTTGAGATATTAAATTTGGGAGTTGTGACCTTGAATATAGGTCAAGGTCATTTCTTTTCATTAACTTTGTAACATCCCATACCAATCAGTTACTACTCCAATATCATGAATCTAGGCCTTAATTTTTCATAAAAAAAAATGACCTTTGACCTTGAATATAGCTCAATGTTATTTTCTCCCAATTGTTTATCAGGTTTTGGCCCAGGAAGCTACCAGCCAGATACTTAAAAATTGACACTACACCTTATATTGGTTAATTGTGATGAGTTAAAACTACAGAAGACCTAATGATGAGGCTTAGATTGGATGAACGGACAAATTGGTAGTGCTATATATGCTCCCCAGTTTCATGACAGATGCATAAAAAATTAGGTTTCACCCACATTATAATGTAAATGATATGCTTGCACGATCTAGGCCTGGAATCATTATATTATATCTAGAAGTATAACACTGCTAATAAGGCAGGGATATTCCTGGAGGGGGGCCCTCATGGGCCCATCGACCCCTCAAAACTGAAATTGACCCTTCCATGTTCCACATTTCTCTTGATTTTACATAGAATTGCCCCTCTTTATTTTGATATTGACTAAAAATTGCTAAAATGGCCCAATGCTCTCAAATTCCAGGATTTTCCCTGATAAGGTATACCAGTTTGTCAGTCAATAACGGACCTCACAGAACTCGTTGCTGTTCGAAGAACTGAGGAACTCTTGGAGACAGTCGAGCGGAACCACTGACAAGTTACACATGGACGACCTCAGGTCAATCAAGCCCAGCTCAAGATCAGATGGGATGTTACTCTTTTTACGCTGGCTACAGTTTCTGTAACATGAAAATTCATCAATGCAATAAAACCAAGCAAATTTGTGGAATTTATATCCCCCGCTTGCACCTTCCTGACATTGTAGCTAGGTTAACATTATTGAGGTTAGGTTTAAACATGTGAGTATTGTGCTGTCGAGACATAACGTATAGCTTGAAAAGAAAAAGCCCTATACCTCATTGATTATCCGTAAATATGCACAAATCACATCGGTTGGCAAACTTAGCATGAGTTGAATGTGCATAAGGAATTTGGTTGAAACATAAAGTCCGCTGAAAGTGGTCATCGTACTTGGCCAAGCCCTTAAGGCATTTAACCCTGTGACCAAGTTTGAAGAAAATTGGTTAACATTTGTTGTAGTTATTGCATGGACAAGAAGCGCCGCAGATAATGACGTTTTTCATTATTCAAGGGGCCATAACTCCGCCAAATAAAGTCTGCTGCTGAAAATGGACATCAAACTTAGCTGAACCATTAAGGCATGTAGCCCTGTGACCAAGTTTGAAGAAAATCGGTTAACATTTGTTCTAGTTATTGCACGGAAACGAAGCGTGACAGACAAACAGACAGTCCCCAATTGATATCCCCCGTTTCGGTGAAAGCGGGGGATAAAATTATATATTCTAGTCACTCAAACATGGCAAACCTTACTATTTAATCCAAATGCAGGACAGGATTTCATAAATTTAGAAAGTATAATGATTACCATTAATTTATTGGTCATAAGAGAGTCTTAGAGACATGGAAAATCTTTAAAAAAAATCAGTTTTTCGGGAAAAAAATACTAATTCATGTCCACAAGTAGATTTGTTCTGTATGTATTGAATGCAAAAAGAAAATGTGTTTTACTTGCCTGTGGGACCAGAAAAGAATTATAGTGACAAAATGATACATTGATGAATGATAAAGATCTCAACCCCAATGCAATATGGGCATTTGGTTTTCTTCCTTAAATGGACTTAAAGGGACATCACGTGAAAAGGCGTTTTTTTTTTTAATGAATNTCTGATAAATAAAGAAAATCAGGTTTTTTTTAATTTTCATTTGCAAAGAAACTTTTTTTATAGAAACAAGTTATGGTGAAATATTGCATTATTTTCTTTCTCATAATGTAAGTGTTTTTTAATATATAAATTTTTTAAATTCTTAATTATATGTTTATCAACGAGATATTTTCCGAACAATTCCCTGTAAAAAACACTTGGTGTTCCTGTCTTTGTCAATAGCATGTATGATTATTGTACTCAAAATACATGCAAGCCATGGAGTAATTGATTTCACAAGGGAGCCAATGACAGAAGAGTTGCAGTGATTTATCTACCTTTTACTAATAAATTCTGATAAGCAGCGACTCATTCTATGTCAAATTAATGAATTTTGAAAAAAAATGTGAATTGAAATTTTGAAAAAAAAAACGTGAATATTTCATGCACGAATCCTGGTAGGACCAGATAAATAAAACATTGAATTTATGATCGTTACGGCCGTTTTAATTTAATGAATTAATTAGCGAAGTGCAAGTGCCTATAACCTGGGCAAATGTTTTCCCGCTTCAAAAAATAGCTGTGATCAGGGAGTCTTCTTCACTAACTTCGTTGATATTTCGCAAATTAATGCGACACATTCATACTTACTGCAAGTAGAGGTTTTCCTGCTTGTTTGAGAATTCTTTTCGTATATCTTCTATTTTTGCTTCTGCAAAGCCAAAATCTGTCTGCATTATCAAAGACTTTCCCCTTGCTTTTGCTGCAAAAATATGTTTTAAACTTTACAACAAAATTTTGGAAAAGCAATGACATTTAGTGTTAGAGAAAAATAAGACACTGGTTATCACATATTGAAGAGCAATGAATTGTTGTGCGATACATTTTATGTAACGAGGGGGCTGAATGGAGCGGAGGTTCACATCACTGAACAATTTGTTTTCTGCAGTGAACTATTCATCACTAAGGGTCAAGTACCCAATTGACATGGATTTTCTTAATTACCTGGTAATAAGAAAGTGGAGAATGCAACAAATTGGAGGAAAGAGTTCTGCTATGTTGTAACTTGTATACAATCTATACTATATAAACAATATACCTTTTTGTTCCAATAGGTCTCTGAACTTATTTTCTATATTCACAATGTGGTTCTCTGTCTCCTGGAGGATCAGAGCCTGGACAATGATACAAAAAAATATGGTAAATTCAGCTTCAGACCGAGTGGCATATATCAAAGTTATAAATTTATTCTTAGAGCCAGTTATATTTTACTTAAGCCCGAGTTTCCACTGGCGAGAGGAAACTCGGGCTAGTTTTACTTTTGCGAGTGAAATCTAAATCTTGATCTTCAACACCAAAAATAGAAAATTTCAATAAGGACATCTAATCTAAAAGGCATTTTTACCTGGAACTTGACGACAAGTATGTATATTTTGACTGACTCAGCACTAATTATTAATATTTGATACCATCCCCATCTGAGCTTGAAGCAGGGACAAAAAACTGTCTTGTACATTAAGTAAAACTGTCTGCGTGAGAACAAATTTTAATTTTGATCTTAATTTTTTTTCAATCTTATTTCTCTGCAAAATTCCCATATTATATACTTTTGATATTTTGCGCTTCGGCATCTTTTCTCTGTTGGGTATGATGTTCTTAAGGGTCTCGTAACAGGTTGCCACACTTGCACGCCACTTGGCATCGGACTGACGACGTCGTACTCTCATCTGGAATGTTTCTCCTCTTGGCATCACTAGGAGAAAAAGGAAAAAGGAGTTTTGTTTTTGTATAAATTTCGTTATGGCTTATCGATAATTTCATATTTGCCCCCCCCCCCAATAAAAAAATGGGAAGGGGTGGGGGTATGATCTACTCTATCAGGTGATTAACATGTAACAGTTACGTCATTCATTTGTTGACAGATCTTATTAATTTTCTTCTTCCCTCACTCCTGTTCCAGTTACCTCTATCATAGAACTTGAAACAAGTTTCAAAATACGTCAATGTTGGTACTTTAAGGCCTAGTGCCAGTCCAAAAAGGCCTAATCTGTGCCGCATGCATGCTTCTTGTTCCTGTCAACATCTCAATATCGGCATTGATGTTGTCAGTTCAGGAACGTGCACGTGCGTCAGTCATGTCGACCTGCAGAATGATAGGTCTAATGACATGAAAATAAGACAAAAATATTAACGTTAACTTACCGTTATATATCATCTGACGGATATCATTCAAATGTTTAAATGTATACCACACGTAATGTTTGAATTTGAATCACAACCAAACTTGTTGAAAGTCGAGAGAAGTGGATTTATTTTTTTGATAGAAAACCGCCTACTGAGCTAAAACAGAATAGGTAATATGGCCTTTATAATGATAAATGTCTGAAATACATTGTAGTTGAGACATAGTCATACTCACAATTGCCCTTTTCCAATAGAAGATCAAAACCGTAAGAACTTCCAACACATTCAAAATTGGCTGCCAAGCGTCATTCCGTTCGAAGGCCCTCGAAAGGGTAAGACAGAATGATAAGGCTGTCATACTGTCGGTCCAGAACTTCTGAATGAAATATGCCATAAACTTGAAAATATATTTGCCGAATAGTAAAATTATTCACCGGGTGGTGATAAAATTCAACTTTATGTTTGCATTAATATCCCAAAACAGTACATAATTCGTTCTAAAAAAGGATAGCATATCCGAGCCTCAAATTATCTTTTATACATCCCCTGTACACAACCCCAACTGCTTACGTATGAAATGACGTCACGATGTGTTCACTTCATTCAAGTTAAACAATGTTCAGAAAATATCGGCACGTTAGTTCGACGATATACAGGATCGGGCATAATCGGGCGGGATTGGGGCAGGATCGGATTTAGGCGTCACTGAGACCGAGGTTCCAATACAGTAGGCCTACTCTGTTTTTTTTCTATAGAAAGAGTTATTCAGAGAATTATAATACGAAAATATTTTAGTGAATTAGCCTAATTGGTGTTTATGTGTTGAATACACCTACCATCACTCTTACCCTGTTCTTTCATTGTGTATCATATGCACAATGTAATGAAATCGTTACATGCTAAATTCAGGGTTGACGTGACGTTGATGGATTGTTGACGTGACGTCATTGTATTGTTATGTGACGTCATGCCATTGTTAGGAATAGGGGAATCCCCCCGTCTCAACCCTAGGGCGAGACAAGGAAATCTCACACCGGTAAAAATGCGGATACACCTGTCCAGGGTAAGAGAAAACGCTGACTATGCATGTAAAATAGCCATGCTTGCTGAGTTTATCTTACATGGATGTGACGTCACACAGGCTCAACAATGACGTGACGTCACGAATTTGGAAAACACCGATGCCGTAATGCGGAAAAGGCAACGTGATGAAATTAGAACCTTTTACGATATATTTACCGTACACGTTAGAAAGATGAGATCATTTTTCTGCGTAAACTGTGTTTGAAAGTATGGGGTATGCTAAATATCGCTGACGAATTCGTTTTCGTCAAAAAAGCTAAGGGGAAAAATTGATATTTTCAAAATGGTCGCCAGTCCAAACGCATTTTCATGGTTTCTGCTATTCTGGTGGTTGGAATGAGAGAAAAATACTAAAGCCTCGGGTTTTACCAATTTTTTTTTTAACTCGGATGGAATTTCCCTATCCTACATCCCGGGACATGAAAGAGTCTTATAATCCTTTGTTCTTGTACTCATTGATGTGCAGATGATGTGAACGCTTAACAGTTCGATTAAAGGCAACTTCTTCGTATCTCCCAAAGGAAATACGCAATTTTCCATCTCAAAAAAGGGACATTCGTCTGAAAATTAAGCAAATTTATATTCCAGATTATATATTAGTCTATAATTATGTAAAGATAAGTAAATTGAAATATGTGTTTTACGTAAACAAATATTGAAGTCCATATGTTGTATTGTTTGACCACATAGTCCTTATCTGTTTTAGAAAGAAGAAAAAATACTGTATATTAATTGCCTATGTAAAGAGGGATACTATCAACAGCCAAGTATACATCACAGATTATGTACTTTTATCACGGAGTTAGTTCTTGCTTTTCAAGCCCGGGTTCTGGGGGTTGAATTTTAAATTTCAAAATTCGATGTGGTCAAAACTGATTATCTTATTCCGTAATAGTAGACAATATGCTTCTAGTTGTTCTAACAAAAACATAAATTAATGACTGTCGGAAAACTTCTTAGCCATCAATCCCCAGAGAAACAAGCCAGTCATCGTTCCATTTTTCAATTTGGCGTCGCGTGCGGAGTGGACAATTTAAAATGGGTAAATACAATTGATAAGATTAGCTTGCCAGATGAAACTGAGAAAATGAATTTACCAGCTAAACTCAAAATTGTAAAAACGTTAAGAACGGATTATGCAATTGTATCCCATCGAATAGCAACGCAGACGTTTTTCACAATGAAAAGTTTCAAATCATTATTCTCTGGTCTGATATGAACGTGCATCAAAATAGTACACATTTCCTTTGAACATTTCCCTTGTGTCTGGTTAGCTCTGTCTCGTCAGAGACGTCTCGTGTGCCAATCAATTTCAGTTGCAGTTACCCTATTATATTTTCGTTTACTTAATTCAATATTTGTATCTATATGGATCTATACAAAGACGTTTGTAATATACACGTCTCTGATCTACATTTAGCATATGTGAATTTGTCTAATCACTGTATATAGAAGGACACGAGACCTAATTTCAGCGCACTACACACCTTCTGTGGGTAATGCAGGTATACTTCAAGTTTGACGGTTTAGATGTTATACCTTGGACAAACTTAAATATACAAAAATAAAAAGGGCCATAATTCTGTATATAGTAGGGCACGAGACCCGATTTCAGTACGAGAGATTCCGCCGTCCCAAGATACATAAATATGGTAAGTTTGGTTAACGTAGTTGAAATAATATGGAACTTTTGCATCGGACAAACTTCAGTATCAAAAAATAAACAAAGGGCCATAACTCTGTATATAGTGGGGGACGAGACCTAATTCAAGTGCACTGCACATGTACACATGTAGCTGATGCAGGTAAACTTTAAGTTTGATCAAGATATCTTTTACGGTTTAGAAGTTATACATTGGACAAACTTGGATATACAAAAATAAAAAGGGCCATATCATTGTATATAGTGGGGCACGAGACCCGATTTTAATGCGAGAGATTTCGCCTTCCCAATATACATAAATATGGTAAGTTTCGTCAACGTAAGTGAAATAACATGGAACTGATGCTGTGGACAAAAATCGGTATTAAAAATAAACAAAGGGCTATTACTCTGTATATAGTGGGGGACGAGACCTAATTATATTGCACTGCACACCTTCTGTGGGTGATGCAAGTATACTTCAAGTTTGATAAAGATATCTTGAACGGTTTAAAATGTACGGGCCGGACAAGAATTTACTGAATATTTTGCACTTATTTGACCTTTGACCTTGATGTAAAGGTCACAGTGACCTAATTCCAGCGCACTGCACACCTTCTGTGGGTGATGCAGGCATAGTTCAAGGTTAAACAAGATGTCTCGTGGTGCAAAATACTTGAATAGAAACTTTGATACATTTTATTTTTTTAACTGAGCGAATTTCAGAGAGATGCTCAAGAAACATATTGCTATCCGTCGTCGTGCGTTAACATTTTATATTTTCAACTTAAACTGTGATACTGTCGAAGGGATATAATTGATACTTCATTGGAATGTTACGGACATCTCCCTGACTAAGTTATGTTATTTTTCGGGTCGATCAGTTATCCAATATGGCCACCACGGCCGCCATTTTGAAAAACTATTTTAAACTTAAAGTTAAGTTCTAATGAACCGATTTAACTGAAACGTGGTAGGAATGATCGAAGCATGGTCCTTACAAGCTTAACTTAACATTATACTAAACAACTATTTTTTACTCCAACTAGTAGCCCTGGATGATTGACATCGTTATATCCTCTTCATATTTCAACAACAAAAATGAATACTGTAGGACTCCGGTGACCGTTAAGGCCCATGGGACTCTAGTTTTAATTTCTAGTTGACTAGATAGAGACGCTCTAGATGTATCACATCATTGATGTGAATTTATCATAAAAGTAGGCAAACAAGACAATTTTAATAAACAAATTCCGTGTAAACATATCTAATTCATGATTACCTGGGAGTGATTGTATTCCTTGCCTTTATGATTACCTGGGAGTGATTGTATGCCTTGCCTTAATGATTACCAGGGAGTGATTGTATTCCTTGCCTTTATGATTACCAGGGAGTGATTGTATTCCTTGCCTTTATGGTTACCAAGGAGTGATTGTATTCCTTGCCTTAGGTCTATATAATTCAATCAGTCCTAGTCGGAGTGACAAACGTACAAAAGGCTACTTCTTACACTCTATTGTGACGTCGCAAATGGCACGACTGCAATTTTGATTTATGACGCCACAATAGTGATGCAGACTCGTGGGTCAGATCAGAGACATATAAAGCCAGTAGTATATACGTCTCCGGTCAGTCTCGTGTGGCTTTATTTCAGACATTTTTTTTTTTGTAATATGAAATAGAATGTGTACAACCAAACACTCCATCAGATTAAGAAAAAGATAGATTTGAAATTCTATCCCAGAGAAAGCGTTATGGCCATGAGTGTTTTTTTTTTTTACTATTTTGACGATGGAAGTATAAGCTGCTTTCTTCATTTCGTAAATTGATGTCTGTAATTTACCAGACCACAACATAACACCGGAAAAACTGGATTGGAAGTAATAGATTAGACGAACATGGATTCCGGAAAGGATGTTGTAGTATTATACATATTTAGTTAATGATTAAATACAATTATACTATTATCTTCATTGTATGATGTCATCTTTTGTTAATGTTAATTAGTTGTCATTGTTTAGACATTTGGTAGACACAGAATTTTCATTTGAATACTCCCACAAAGTCACATAATCCCTTAGCGATTGTGATGAAGTTTATAATGCATGATGTCACACTGTTTTATAAACTGGGTCATGATTAAGGGTAAGAAGCATTTCATCCATTATAGTAAAGAAACACAAACAAACAAAAAAAAGACACAAATCCTGTCATCAGGTGAACTGTTTACTGACCCTGGCATTTAATTAGATCAGTATCATGTTTGATGATTATTAACATAGTTAAGACAAACTTATAATTAAATGCAACAAAAAACAAAAATCACTAGTTTTAAAACATCTGTAATATTTTTTTCTATTTCATTTACAGTTAACAGCTAAACTCTTTCTCATTTACAGTATTGTAAAGGGTTACAAAATGGCAGATGTTACAGCACCACAGATTGGTGGTTTCTGACCAATGAAATTCCGCTTTGCATATATGAGTAAAACCTGCTTCAACATGCTCTCATGAAAGTAGCATTACCCCTGATGTTCATTTCAGCAGGGATGCTTCAGACGGTTGCGTAATACCCTTCCAAATACATGTCATACAAAGGGAACTTCAAAACATTTTTTGAAAAACGATAATTTCAATGCAGCTGTGCAGAAGTCCACGAGTCCGGCTCATCCGTGTCACACTATCATACTATATCACAACATTCTAAAACACTCGTGCATGCACAACATTTTCAGGACATTCGTAATACCAAACACACACTCATACAAGCTTCGCCGAACACAAGGATAAAACACAACTGCAGATCACACGTCTAGACATCTACCCATGCTATTAAATCAAATTTTGCAATTTGAAGGAAAGATATTACAAGAGATGTCTAGGCGTGGGACTTTTTAACATCGCAAATATAGTGTTGACTTGAGAGGAAATTATTCACGTTCGACTCAAAACAAATGTACAAAATGTACAGTAAAGTGCCAATGCTAATAGACTTCCTAACAAGTCCTGATGAACACAATGCACCAACTCGGCAGTGAAGGACCAAGGATAATTTGGCACATCCACTAAAATTTGAACTAGATTTGAAATGTTCCATTACATCAACTTTTCTCTGAAAATGTCTTCATCATGTCTCCAATACACATTAAATTTTTCATCTTCCTCAGCAGAAAGGGATCTCCATGAAAGTCACAAAAGTTGAAAAAAAATATATATCTTTGTTCGTGTTTTAAGGTTTTCCATATTAAAGACACCCAGCAGATGGACAATGGTTGTGTCCCTTCCTTTACTGGACAGGACTACCCACTAGAGGGCAGTACCTGGTAGGTACACAATACAATGAGTTCCAGACTACAAAACAATGTCACAGACGACAAGCAGACGACCAACCAGACTACACCAGCCTTTAGCAACATACAAGAGACTTTCATTGCCAGTGCAATAAAAGAAAACACAATGGCAAACCCTGTATTTTTCCTTTAAAAACGTCAACCTCTCCTATATCAAGTTGTTCTACCCTCATGTCTATCTAGTTGCCATTTCTGTAGAAGTATTACATCTCAAATTTAGGATAATGACATTTTTTTCAGTTTCCACTGTACATATGGTTCAATGTAACAATGCGCAGATCTATTCAGCTTCATCCGAACAGAAATCATCAGCCAATATTATATTCAGTGAAATCAAGTATAAGAGTCAGTTTTGTTCAAAACGTAGCATAAATCAGGGACTTCTACAAGACCACTGCCACTCTCCTCCGCATGATTATGATAGTGGGAGGATGCTGTCTGTAGTCCTCCACACAGTCCACAAAACCGTGGACCGTGAAAATGGTGGAATAGCTGTTGCCATGTCCTTCCTAGCGTGAACCTTCCTACCTCATCCTGTACGACATAGACTCATTCATCTCGGATAATTCACCCTTAAAATCCACATCAATCTTTATGTCCAGATCCCTCTGTGGAAAAGGAGAGCAAATGAAAGTTTACACATGTTGAACTGAATGAAACAACTTTGACACGACAAAACACAAGATTTTTAAAACCAGCACAAGAGTTCAGAAACAACTTGACTTCGTAAAGATCAGCATCCATTTTATAAACAGATAGAATAGATGGAGGTTACTGTAAATATGTAAATACTTTTTTTGTTGACTAAATGATTGTGAAAACACAACAAGGAACATAATGAAACCTTGATATCAAAAATGTACCTTTTAGCAACATTGTCTATGTAAGAATTTCCACACAGTAAATATTTGGAGGTTTCGCCATTTCAATAATTTATTTACACAACATTTTAATGCATTCATACTTATGTATACAATGATGTATATACTTGTATGTTTTGTTTGGAGTAACAAGAGGTGAGCGGCCCTGCTTTCAACCCTTTAAAACATTGGTCCTCATCTAGGAGGGCTTGCATAGATGATTAAAACTAAATACACCCAGTCAGTAATAATTCATTTTTTTTCATTTCACTAAAACTGTTTCAATAAACTATTGTCTTGTTTGAATACATACATAAATACTCTGTTTTTGTAGCGTTATTTTTACATCCTCAAACCCCTCTCTCACCGTCACATATCGGACACGGCAAGGGAGAATCGGGTCAGGTGAAACACACAGACATCCTAAATCCATAAACTTACTGTGTTCTTTTTGTTGGGTTCCAATGCAATGGTGCCGAAGAGTTCTTCTCCTTTCTTAACTGTCAGATCCAGCTGGTCGAAGTAAAACACAGTCTGCTTCCAGTGAGTGTAGGGGGCCTCGGGAGCTGGGAAAGGGAAATATCACAACAGATTAGTACTTGGAGTGGTCAATAGTACGAACAGACACTACCCTACTGTTAGGTAGCTCTAACCTTTTTAAAAGTTTGGATCTCAAGTAAACATGCACGGTTATGACACATTTAAAGACATACATATTTCACTTTTTTTCATATGGGGATTGCATTTTTGTGAAAACTGCCTACTGATGTTGATATTAAGAAGATGGTCAACCAGATCTTTATTGACAATACAGGAAAAGTTTCTTCAGATAAGACATTTTTTTTGGCTGTTCTACTATTAAAAAGATTACTGTTACCATTTTGTATGAAATATGTTCACGTACTCAACCCATCACAGGTATCCATTGTTTAGTGACAACAGAAAGTGTTTCATAGGGCAAGTACAGTGAACATATTGTTAATATTCAAGATCAGAAGAGATTGGCAGATGATAATGCCCCCGCTAGTAGTCGAACCCAAGACCTCTGGCTTACTAGTCTTAAGCTCTATTTGTCAAATCTCCCGGGTCCCTACGTGGGAGCAAATGTAACAGAGGTCATTATTTATTCAAAGCCTCCACTAGGAGTCGAACCTGGGACCTCTGGCTTACTAGTCTTGAGCTCTACCGAATGAACTGAAGAGAAATTCTCCCTCGCCGGGTCGGTAGGGAGCAGCTAGTATTTTACCAGGGTGACATTTATATTTAGAATTTCTTCTTAAAAGACAATTACTGATGCAAATTTAGCATTTCTCCGAGTTAACAAAGCTGCCTTGATGGTAACTTCTGGGATAAATAAACAAACAAACTGCATATATATATATATGTTACAAACAATGACAAAATGAACTGTCAACTTGTATTACAGTTATCACTCTTGTTGACCTGGGAGGCAGCTAGCATTGGAGTCTTAATGGGGGAGGAAACTGGAGAAAACGCACATGGTCTGGCAGGTGACCCAATACCTTTTCCAATTGTGGAATCTAACCCAGCTGTCTTAGTGAACGGCAAAAGTGTGCAATACACTGTGCCACCCAACAACCAAATAGCTTAACCTGGGATAGCTTGACCACTGGTCAGTTTACAAGCAAGTCTCACCTGTGGAGAAACCTGTTCTCTTGTGACACTTTGTGAACTCCATGTTGAAGAAAGTGACCAGTGCATGTACATAGTCGTTGCGGCGACATTGGAGGTGGAATGGAGCCTTGAAGGTGAGGTCGTCTTCCGTGACAGTGTAGATGTCCACCTCCTTCACCAGGCAGGAGTTGGTGATCACCTGTTTGGGGTCGACAACATCCACCAGGGGCTCCGAAATAGCCACTTTACGGATCACACTCATATCAAAGCCATACACGGAGTCCCACCCTGTTAAGAACAAAGTTAAAATTCACTAACAATTGATGAAGTGTTACCAAAAACTCAAATAACAAGGGATCAGAAAGGAAGTTCCACGGGGATCATCTTTAAACATCAAAGTTTTTGTCCTTAGCATTAAGGAACTACTTCAATCAAGTTTAAATATCTTAACTCTATCTGCAGACACAAAGTTAAAAATGCCGCTTAGAGAAATATTGACATTTGTTCACCAAAAAATCATGATCAGTACAATATGTTATTATTTTAAAGTAATTGACATGAAAATTAAATTTGTTACAAATGTGAAGTTCCAAGATAATATTATATATCAACTCGTACACTGCTCTTGGGGAAACTGCTGAAATAAGAGTATAGGTGACTTACAGTTGATCTTCTCATCCTTGTACTGTCTGTCCTCTATGGCACAGACGTACAGCACAGCTCTGTCGGGGAAGATCAGGCCACCAGGTTTCTGAGGAAACACAGCATATATATATTAAGAGGGCTACAGTTTCAATCCAGAAATTCAAAATTATTTCATAGCTGAAGTCTAAATCTGTGACATTCTTTCAGCATAGGACTCAGAACTCCATCATGAAGTATGGTCAAAAGGAACATTAGGTAAATGTTATTTAATGTAATTAAGGTAAATCTTCAGAGTTTGAACAACGTTTTAACGATAAAAGAATAATTCTCTATCTAGTGATAGATTGAACCAAGCTAACTGATAAATTTTCACATGACAGTTATTAATTATTAAGTAAAAGGTATAACTTATGATGTGCGACTACTATCTATCTATCTTCCACATTGATATTCCGATACCTGATTATTGATCAACTTCAAAACTCGAAAAAACATGTACTGCTTTGCAGCCTACAGGCCTCTTGCTTCTTAATTGAGTGCAAATTGAACTTGATAATAGATTACAAGTACATAAGTAACATATGAAAGATGTATGTAACATTGTCCATCTCCAGATTTACAATATCGTAATAGGCTGTTGTTGTAGAGTATCAGAGACTTGATTGATTTCTGTCGATGTCAACTCAGACTTTTGTGTAATTTGAAGAGAATTGATGATATACGTTTAATTTTGTTCCATGTGATGGAGGTTTTTACCGTATAACCCATATTAAATTCATATTATATTGACAAATAGGTCTACAAATATATGAATTGTTCATATTTTCTCAAGACATTGGTCTACTGCTTATCATGAACAAAATCTAAATATTTATTTCAGATGCCATTTCTCTGTCCAACACAATTCCGTACATTTAAGGAAAAAGTAACCCTTTTATCAGTTTTTCAGTACCAGATGTCAGCAGTAAGTAACAGAACATTACAACTTACAGAATTGAATTGAATTATAACTGTTCTATCTGCTATCCAATTTATAAACAAAGATGACCACTGTACTGGCCATACCTACCAGCCACTTGTCACGGGCAAATATCACAGTGTTCAACATGGACTCGTAGAAAAGACAGTAGCCCATCCACTCGCTGATGATGATGTCAACTTTTTCAATACCGTCAGGCAGGGTAACCTCCTCCACCTTTCCTTTGATCAGGGTCACAGCTACAAGATATGACATGCACTTAATTATCTCCCTATGCTCAATGTCTGGACTACAACTTGGGATAAACACTGAATTTTCTCCCTTTGATCAGTGTCTGGACTACAACTTAGGACAAAACAATAAATTATCTCCCTTTGACCAGACAAGAACATCACGCAAAAACAATGATCACCATGTCATCAAAGTCAAGAGATACTTGTATCTTCCCTTGACCTTTGTTAACCCTTTCACCACTGAAGACCATAATGAACTCATCCATATCAATGCATGGTAGAGTCTACTAAAGTTACATAGGGGTGAAAGGGTTAAACAATCCTGTCTTCAAAATAATGCAATTATATAAATCAGGAGATATACTTGTGTCTACGTTAGTTTGATTACACACAAACTATTTGTTTTCATATCCTATTTAGCTAGATATTCTAACAATCAATATAAACACCACAAGTTAGCCCCTAAAACTAGCTCATCTCCATTGGTTATATTGCGTTATGTTATTTTATGAGATTTGAAATTTAGATTTTCTTTTAAACAATATATGTCTCCATCATTCCTTGGTCGGTTATTGCGAAAACACCATCCTATAGTTTTGACACTTTTGCATAAACCGTCTAGTTTTCACATAGCCTATGATCTATCGATGGATGAATACTTGAGTAACTGATAATACAATCTTAACAAGTCCAATTTACTATCAGCTTGGTGATTCGCTAGTCCTTGCTGAAATCTACTAGTCTCAGACTAGAGGACTTGTGTTTGAGTCAGATCTTTCAACAAAGCGTAGCGTTTCCACCAAACGTTTGAAATACATGTTTGACTTTAAAGAAATCAGTAGAATGCTTTAATGTTGACCAATACAAATTCTGAGAAAATCTTTTACAGGCATCCAACTTTTAATGAAAACACTACGCATCTCCCTGTCCCTTTATATTATTGTAGTATGATACATCTTAGGAACAATCCCAAAAACAGTAGTCATATATTCAGAGGGGCCTTTCAATAATCTAAATGATATTAAATAGTCTAATTATCACAGCATAACATGTTATCACCCTGTACCATACATCAAGAGTGAAAAACCCTACAAATGATTTCTTACTTTTATCAAAGTTGTTCACTTCCGTGATCTTCTGGGCGTAGTCTATGATACTGGAACAGTCAATCTGTTGAAATGAAAATGGCATCATTGATTTTTTTTAAATTAAGCAACAGCACTTTAGCAGATGTTGATTATCTCCTGGCCCTGGCTTGTGACTTTCCAATGGCCACAATAATTTTATCTGGAAAAAGTCCTTTTAACCAGTTGCATCAACTCCCGTCCTCCAAAATTAATGCTTCCAGACCAACAGTGTTCATTATAGCTTTATTTTAATCATGCTTCTGAAACCTATAGATCAGACAGGCCATCTTTATTCGCATTCTTTAATGCATTGAACCAGAAAAGAGTACTTTCAACTGAACAGGTTTGCCGAAACACTCGCAATACTGTCTTGCTAACATTTTTCACTGGGATACCAATAAAAAGAAGTCGGAAGTTAACACCATTATACCATAAAATATCTGTAAGATGACTTTCAGAGAGCAAATTTCCAGATATTTTGGTCCAGTAAAATATCTTTTCCGTCGAAAATGGTGCTGGATTATTAGAACGTCTTTTAAAAATTTGTCTTTGACATGGTTTAAAAACGAGACACTATTCGTCAATCGGCCCACATTAAGACAAAAAAGTTGCAGCAGCTTCTTTTTAATAGACACCTACCCCTATGACCTTGGCGGCGCCAGCCTTAGCAGCAAACATACACAGGATCCCTGTACCACATCCAACATCTAGGACAATCTTCCCTTTAAACAAGTGCTTGTTGTGTATCATGGCATTCCTGTAGGTCAGTGTCCGCACCTCATCCTTGAGCATTTCCTGAAATAGAAAGGATCAACCAATTATTTTTTGTAGGATTCTACTTTTTATCATGTGTGTCCTAAACATAATTTTTGTAAAATGTTGACAAGTTCAATAACTCCTAGATATCATGGGTTTTCAAAATGTGGACATAACATACAGAAAAAAAATATGAGTCCAGGACTCATTTAATCAAAAATCAAAGTCAATATATTTCACATTCTGCATGTTTTGTTCTGAACTTGTATGTGTTTGTTTTAACCCCAGTATATTTGGTCTGGAGCTCTTTTTTCGCAATAACTTAATGTATTGAGAACTCTTTTGAGATGATTAACCTCCAAATCACTTTTACAACTATCTGATATTAAAATTAAACAAATGTACAGTTTCGTTTTCAAAGAGTTTCCTCGACAAATTACCTCGTGGATGCCAAAATGACCATATGAATCAAAGTAGTAATCTTTTGACGTCATGTCATCCTTGTCTTTACCGGCTGGTCTGGGGCCATCACCATTACATGAGGGGACATCCTCTGTAGTGGTGGTGGTGGTGGTGGGAGTGGAAGTGGTTGCTGGTGTTGTCTTCAAGTAAAAAAATATATTTTCATCAATAAAAACTCCAAGTTGCAAATTATATGGCAACGAAAAAGTTTTCAAAATATTTCAAACAAGATTCAAGATTATACCCGAGACAAGTCGCAATATCTTAGTACGGTAGTGATTCTAAATAAATAATTTCAACACAAGTTCAAAGTTGAACCATATCGGTACATTGCTATCGAGACCTGGAATATGTATACGTAGAAACAAACAGAATCATAAAAGGGCTACACCACATGGTGATGATAATATATTAGGTATCGTTCTTTAATAATGAATGGATATCGAGCAACTATTATGCATTTTTATCAATCATAAGAATATGACTTTCAAAAGCATACTTTACACTAGTACTGAAGACATTTAATTTAAATACTTTGACGAAGCGAATATATCGATTATGGAATTTGTAATTGATAATCAGAAATTTTAAGGGCAAACCGATTGATTTTCAATAATAATCGATCAGCCCATCACTATCTCTGCCTTTTATTTCGACTAGACATATTAAATTAAATATTTATAGAATGAGAGACTCAAAAAGAAAGAACGAGAGTCTTCAAGCTCTTCTACAAGGACACTAATTATAAATTGTAAAGAAGCTGACCCTTAGACCCCCCAACCCTGGCAGTCTTCACAATAATATTAATATGTTGATAGTTGTTAAACACTATATATAATCTTCATGATGAAACTTATTTGTCATAATAGTTGTCATCTTTGTTTTCAATTCTATCGTTTTGAATATATATCCTTCAACCTTTATCCAAGCTATAATATAATTTGTTAAATCAACAGCTCTTTGTTGTATCCACCATGCTTTGAAGATAACCCATATTTTCAGTTCTGAACCAATTTTACCTTTCTATATATATATTTCGTACATTTAAGTATGAAGTAATACAACGTTTTTGAGTAAAATTATGTACATATATAGGGTTACACTATACTAAAAACTAAATTTGATGGTGATGATCGAAATACAGGCAGATCCTTATCAAATGCCATATATAAAGTTAATTTGAAATTTGGCGAAAAAGCATTAGTAAACACTTAACACCGAAATATGATTTTTTTTTAACCCAGAACACGTGGATCCAACAGATTCATAAATTACCGATAAAATTGTTTATGAATTACTTAACATTTCTTCGTAAATTTATATAGTAAGTTACTTAAAGCAAAATAATAAACAAAATAATATGTTAAGCAAGATAAACCCAACACAAAAATGAACAGCGAAAAGCGATAAAACCCTTGCTCCAAAATATTGCGTAGATAAGCTCAGATGCCATGCATTGTTATGGCCCATGTGCTTCTTTCACAAAATGAGTCAAATTTCAAGCTCGCATACTTATGATTTTTTTAGTTAGATTTGTATTAAAAACTTCAAATAAAAACGTGAAATAACATAGTGCAAAATGAATTTGTTACTTTCATCGTTAACAAAGGAAATGAAATTGTAAGAAATGATGAAAATCCACAAAATAAATGAGAAGCGCTTGCTGAACACGAAAGAAGTCAAATACAAATAAATACGCTACGATCTAATACAATAATTACATAAGAAGATACATTAAACAATAATAAACAAATTGGCACATTAAAATAACGTGCTATGTCTTAAATGTGACATATTCATGAATACCGAGTCAACGGATTTCGCTAGTACCTCCATGTGCTCTGCCATTTTGAACCCTTGTGTGAAGCGCGCACATGGCCGGGAACTACGTCATCGAAAATTGTGAATAATTTGTGGCTTTACTAAACTGCAAATACGCACATAAAATATCCGGTTATAGCAGACGAATCCAAAAGTATTATTTCTATCTCAAAACTTGGATAACAGAATCTTTACAAAGGAATCGATATTACAAAAATGAATTAATAAATTTGTATTTGAAAGAATGAATGGCATTACATTTGAGTGCACACTCATCGTATAAAAAATGCGGTAACCAAAAAGGCAATATAATTTAGTCAAACACGGAACTATCATGATGAAAGTTACTATCTTGTAATAAGATCAGGGACGTATTATACGTCTCTGATAAGATATTTATTATTCAATTTAATAAAATAAACTGTAAAAGAAGTGACCTTGTCAGGACGAGAGAACTGTCAACATGTAAAAACTCATTAAGTTGCTCACGCGATCAGTGAGGTTAAAATTTGAAAGATTTAAAAGATGAGTTTCGCGATCTTATATTGGTTGATTTAGATTACTGAAATTGTGCGGATTATCTTTAATTATTAAGCACTACAGGGAAAGTTTTTGAAAAAGTTATTACAAAATATCTGCATAATTGTTTATTAGAAAATTCATTGTTATATAAATACCCATCCGGATTTCAGCCATTTCACTCTACAGTACATCAACTAATTGAAATTTATCATAATGTATGTATAAATCTAGAAAACCGTTATCCTACCTGTCTTGTTTTTTGCGACATTTCCAAAGCTTTTGATCGGGTTTGGCATGCAGGTCTTGTACACAAATTAAAAAGCTATGGAATTAATGGAAATCTTTTAGACTGCCTATCCGATTATGTACATCACAGGGTTCTGTCTTATGTCCGCTTCTTTTTCTCTTGTATATCAACGATATAACTGATAACATGACAGCCTTTCTCGTCTTTTTGCTGATGATACTTCCCTATCCATCTCTTCTCCTTCTACTACTAACCAAGATCTTGAAAAAAAAATCATAACTGGGCAGAAAATTGGCTTGTTAAATTTAATCCTAATAAAACTGAAGCACTACTAATTTCAAATACCAATGCTGAGCTTGATGTCAATCTTATTTTTAATAATTTTATTATTGATTTTATTGAACATCATAAACATGTAGGCATTTTTCTAGATGCTAACTGTAAATGGACTCATCAGATTGATAACATTTGTAAAACTGTTACGAAACAAATAGGGATTCTCCGCAAGTTAAAATATACTTTAAATCGCAACACATTAAACAGAATTTATATTACTTTTATACTCCCTCTGCTTGAATACTGTTGCGAAGTTTGGGACGGTTATACAACTGCCGATGCAAATAAACTTGAAAAAGTCCAGTTAGAAGCAGCGCGTATTGTCACCGGTCTGCCATCTTTTGCTAGTAGATCGAGCTTCTCTTTATTTCGAAACTGTTTAGGAAGTCTTGTCTCAACGTCGCACCCGCCGCAAACTTCAACTTTTCCATAAAATTCACAACAATATGACTCCCTCTTACCTAACTGACCTTCTCCCGCCACGAGTAGCTACTTTAACTCCTTATAATTTGAGAAACTCTGAGAACTATTCCATTCCTAATTTCCGTTTACAATCTTCACTTAACTTATTCATACCTTCTACTTTAAGATTATGGAATGAGCTTGACACTAATATTAAAACTGCACATTCTTTTAAGAGCTTCACAAACTGCCCCAAAGAACAGAAAGAAACATTTAACGTGCATGGTTTCTATTTAACCGGTGACCGTAAGTTAAATATTTTACTAACCAAACTCCGTCATAAATGCAGCCCTTTAAATGATGATCTCTTTAATGTTAACCTAATCAAATCTCCTATTTGTGCATGTGGATATCTTAATGAAAATGCTCATCATTTTTTTTTTTTACATGCAGTAGACATACTGATCAAAGATTTCAAATGTTTAGAAACCTTCATAAATACTTACCTCTAAGCTTAGAGAAATTATTATATAGCCATGAAGATTATTCGAGTGATGAAAATAAAAAATATATTTATGTATGTCCAACAGTATGTATCGAGTACTCGCAGGTTTTAATATGGTCAAGTTGACGCTTCTTGTGTCTCCTCTCCAGCAGTCCTCATTATCTTTCATATTCATTTCTTAGCTTGTGTCCGTATTACATGGCATAACGTGCACTTGTTTGTTCCTTATTATTTTAGTAATCCTCTGTAATGTTTAAATTTCTTTTAAGTGCACGAGAGCGTGACTGTAAGGAGTGTGCTAGACTGGCTACCAGCCACTAAGTTTTTTATGAAGAATTTCTCAGCTGCATTTTACTACTAGATTATCTCCCCCTTGTCTAATATTTTTTTATTTATTTTTTAACTTTTTTAACTTTTTTAAACTTTTTCTCTAATAATTCAATATTTTAGAGACGGTGGCCAGTCTAGGAGTGTGCGTGTACTTGAATGTATGCGAGTGAGTTTGCAGATGTGCGTTACGTTCTTTCTGTAAATAGTTCCACTTACCGTTGTATATAATGTATGTAATATGGACATGTGATGGGCCATTCAGTTATAGCCAGTGCAGTAGAAACGAGTTTTCGAGAAAGAATGGAATGAACAGGAGAAAGCCACTAGGCACGGGACGTGACGAACTGTTGAATGGCTGAAAGTATGGAATCACTGCGCTGGCTGTGCTGGATGGTTCCATTTTCATGACAAATTTTAAAATCTACTATAATCTGTACATAAAAGTAAGAGTGAATGTGTGCATTAATGTTGAATATTAACGATGTACATATATAAACTGCAATGAATAAGTAATAATCTCTCTCTCTCTCTCTCTCTCTCTCTCTCTCTCTCTCTCTCTCTCTCTCTCTCTCTCTCTCTCTCTCTCTCTAATTAATTGATAAATGTAGTAATTCAAACTATGGAAGCCATCTTATGATGTGTATATACAATTATTCATCTTATAAGGAAACGGCGTTAATAATGTTCATGTAACTTGTGCCCAATCCTTTTGCATTTTGTTGGCAAGAAAATATGTTTAAACTAAACAAAGTAGGTGTCACGGCGTTGACCCAGGTCTGAAAGTGTATAGATATTGGGTCTGGGCCGGGAGGATGGATAAGGGCCGTCTCGGTTTAAATATTGTATTCCCTTTTACAACAATGCCTATGGTTCATGATGGGTTAAACATCCACGAATTAGCCCCCTTCTATAAGTCCGTGCTTTTGAATGAAATTAATATTTCTTATCAAAGAATTTAGACGTATATTATATACGTCTCTGAATGAATACAATTTACACCAGAACTAAGACGGGCAGGAGGGGGTGTCAAATATGTTATCATCACGTCATTCGAAATATATCATGAATAAAATATACAACATTTTTTGTTTTTAAAATAAAAAATCTCCTTCCGAATTCAGATATTTTATTCCTTCGCTAAATTATACGTCAAATGAATGAAATGTTTAATATAAGTGTTTCTATACGGATGTATGATGTGTATGATTTTTTTTATATAACTGTTCTTTACATGTGTATGAAATATTTGATATGCATGTTCTATACAGATCTAATATGGTGTGTCTGAGTATATATAAAATGTTTGAAATAAATATGTCATAAATTAGCATGCTCTGTTATGATCATGATAGTACACACGATCAATAAGTCAGATTAATATTCTCTACAGACAAAATACTTAGAAAACTGGGTATATGAAATACGTATGGTAACATAAAATGTGTATGGTTAACATGAAATGAGTATGGTTAACATGAAATGTGTATGGAATGTTTAGGATGAGAGTACTGTGAAGTATGTTATAGTCTCCCAAATATTGTCATGTGTATGTGCTTTGAAAAACTGAATAAAAATATAAATTAAAAAAAAAATACGTCAAATATCTTGAATCCGGATGTGTATCCACTTTTGAATTAGTTTCTAACTTCCGGCGAAAAGGTATAAAACCACTTATCAACAACAAAGAATTTTTTACAGGTAAGCATCTATATTATAAGCATTTTAATTAAGAAAATATGCAACTGGTACAGGTCTTGTTTCGTGCAAGTTTTATAAATTCAGACTACACGTGTGCAAGTCGTGCGTGTGATTTTGAATGTCACTTTGATAGAAGAATGAATCATCTAGCGGCTTTCTGCTGTTCTGAGCTCGCTACTACACACGTACGATACACACAGCTATTCAAGAGCGTTATGAAGTGAAAAATTCCAGCACATGCATGCCAGCTGAGCGAATCCACGAGAAAGGCTTACACATAATGCTCTTTGGTCACTCGTTTTACTAAATTTACATCATCATACAGATATATCCGCATGTTTCTGTTTCAACACTGTTCAAGGTAAAACATTTATTTTAGCATATTATTTTTCTGTATTTATTCTGTATTTTTATATAGGTTTCACGATGTAAGTTGATTTTGAAAATCAGATGATTAAGCTTCTCTGGCCTGATGAGTTCACAAATGTTCTCATCGACATTCATATGGGGGAAAATCTTGTGTTATATTTTTCCTTCATTTATAATGGAATGTTCATGAGACTGATGAATGTTTGTATTTTTTTTTTTTTTCAGATCATTTTTCACACCAATTTTTTGCCATGGCGAAATATTCATATTCATAAATAAAAAAAAGTACATTAAATTCGTCCAACTACTTTTATATTTGAATTTGAGATCGAAACATTGAAGATGTTCGATTTGCTCATATATATATTTATCAACACACATCATGTGTTTCTCCATGTAACCAAAGCTTGTTACTTTTTAAATAGACTTCCTATCTGAATTATATTAATATTTTAGATTCTGCTAATTATTAGCGTATAACTATGTCAATTTTTATTGTTTGCTCTTTTAATAGCATATGTATGTATATTAGGCACATGCCATTTAATTGATGAAATACCTTTGCATGAAACTTTATGCATTCTGTGATACTCTAAACTAAGATAACTGTGATATAACCTTCATCTAGCACATGTATTTTAGTAGCAAGAATACCATGTTTATTTATATATCGATTGCGTAAATATGTTATTTTATCTAACACATGTATTTTACTAACAAGATGACCATTTGGAAGGTTAGCCTTTTGCTAAACATGTATTTTATCCTCAATGAATAAAGAGTATTATTATATGTATCAATATAACATGCCTTTTGTATTGAGTACAATACTAAATATTGTATCTATGATATCAATATGTATGAATCAAACACAAGATGCAATGTTGTACCCCTAAACTTGAAGACTTGCTCAATCAGTTTTCTGAAAATAGGTGCAGTCTATATATACATATTCTGTATTTCTGAAAGGATTAAAAGGAATAAACTTTCGCAAGAAACACAAGTTGATAGATATTTAGTAGGGACCCATTTAATTGATATAAAAAAGAAAATGCACTGCTGTGATCAATATACCGTATATCTACTGCGAAAAGCCAGGGATAGACATATACTGATGTACTCAAAGACTTTAAAGGGGCATCACAGTGAAGTAACTTTATTTTTTGTCTTTTTTTCAAATACTACATAAACATATCAAGTGAGACTCCTTAAGGAAAATAACGATCGGATTTGGCTGAAATAGATTCATAAAAATGATTAAATCTAAGAAAATCATCGGTATTTCTACCTGTCTGACCAACGTTTTGTTCAGGGATTTCCCTCTACTAGCGCATGCGCATAACACACCATTTCTTTGTAAACAAAATGACTGGCCGTGTGAAGTAAGCGAAAGAAAAGTGTTGTACCGTGTCAGCTACGAAACGAAAAGTTGCCAAATGGTCAAAAGATAGCGCAAGGAGTACGTTACGGAATCATTATTGCAGGTGGGCAGTATTCAAAGGAGAAAATAACTGCCGTAGCAGTTAGTACGGTGCATGTATTCTTCCGGATAGCCGGTTAAGCTGAAATGGAATCGACAGAAATGCTAGCGCTGTTTATGTTATGAATAAATATCTAAAACTATTAAGCTCGCTAGTATCTTTGTCTGAGTTTGAACACAGATGAACTTAGTTTAATATGTTAATGGGCATGTATTGGAGAGAGTTTACTTTGTGTTTCTATAATTATACAGTGGTTTATGCGAAAGGAAGGGATAAGTGACTGGTTAGTTTGATTTTGCCATGAGGCCCTCCAAGGGATAACTGTTGTGATGGCCCACGGCGTATTTTCTGGGTCACCGTGTTATCTAAGTCTGTGGATTTACATAATTCATAATATTACCGGGTTCAATAAAATGGTATGATTTAATTATATTGCTGAATTAAACGATTATTTTTGTTTTTACATTCAAGATTTAAATTAGTACTAATATGAATACCCGGCCTCCTCTGCCCCGGCAATATATAAAAAAAATCAGAAAGGTTTGTCCCTTGGTGTAGGGAATTAAGGTGTTTAGCCCCGCACATCTGTACCGGCCACATTCCGTACTAAATTCAATATATATTTAATTATATCTACTTTATGTTTATGCCTATTATCATTGTTGACATTTAATTGTAAATGTATGACGGGAGAAGGCTGTGATATATTGTAAAAACTTGTGCCCCATCCCTTGTTTAATTTTATTGGCAACACATTTATGTTTAAAGCTAAATAAATTTAAATTCTGAACATTGGCAGGTGTGCAATTAACTTCTAATGATGAATAATTACTGTTCAATAAGTTTGAATACGGACTTAGAAATCATATAACTTGGTTTCATAGTGCGGTAAGAAGTTGCAGTTGCCT